TAGCTGTTAGAGCCTATTTAACACTTATAGTAATTTATAGTCTAGCTAATAAAAGAGATATAGTAGTAGACAAAATAAATAATCTTTAATAAGAAAAAGGTTTAGTTTAGGCATACACAGTAAGATTTAGAGAATACTAAGCTTAATATAAATAGACTAACTAAAAGAACTTAAAAACCTAGTAAAAGATAAATTCTTTTATAAAAAAAAGAGCTAAAAAAGCTAGTTAAATTTATTAAAGTAGTAACTTTATATAATAACTATCTCTGTAAAAGAGAACTTAAGAAAAAGAGAGAAAATAAAAGATACTGTCGGTTGACCTAGGTTCGATCAAACGAACGTACGCCTAAGAGGCGTACTAAGAGGTGAGTAGGTAAAGATCTTCTTATTATTAACTACTGCCCTCTCTTTTTATACAAAGAAAAAGAGCTCTTAAGTACATATAGCTTCTAACATATAGGCTAGATAGCTAACATTTTAGGTAACCTAATTTAGCTATACGCGTGTACAGACATAGCTGTACTTATATATAAACACTAGTAACTTTTTACTTTTATAAAGTTACTTACTTATCTATGTATTAATTCTACTTTTTTTTTTTTTTTTACTTTTTTACTTTTTTTTTTAAAGCTAACTTTTAGTGCTTTTTTTATTTATAATATCTTTTAGCTTTTTAGCTTATGTATAATTCAACTTACTTTTAAGATAGTGCCTATGCTTAGCTAGAGTAAGAAAAAGTTCTTGCCTAACTATATAAAAAAAGTTATTAAAATTATGTGTTATTTATCTTTTAAAGTTATTTTACTTTTATAGTGTATACTTTTCTTTTAGCAGCTTATGCATGTCTAAGAAGATATATACTATATATAAAGCTTATTATTTTAGTAAAAGAGAGTCTATATTTATTTTATTATATAAAAGATCTAAATCTACCTCTTTATATAAAATTATTTTAGACACATGTATAACCTCTAATAACTTTTTATATAAAGTGTATAAAGACACTATAGCTTAGAAAAAGTGTAAGTTAATTACCTTCTATGCAGGCAATTAATCCCTAGGGGGGTAGAGTAGAGGAGGAAGAAAAGGTGTTAGTTAGTTATTACCTCTTATGTAGGCAATTAATTAAGAAGGGGGGGTAGGTGCTAGTTGCGTTTATACAGCAGTTGTCTAGGTAGTAGTAGTTAACTGTACAGTAGCTCTTAAAGAGCAAGCTGTTGTGCGGAGTAGCAGGTTAGCTCGAGGGCGGGGGCTAGTTGCTTGTTTATACAGCTGTTAGAAGAGGGGGGGAGGCTAGTTGCGTTTGTATAGCTGTTGTCTAGGGGGGGTAGGTGGTGCTAGTTGTGTGTTTGTATAGCTGTTCTTAGGGGGGGGAGGGTGTTAGCAAGGCAGGCTGCTAATAAGGAGCCTCCTCTGCGTGGCTACGCACGCAGTAGGTTTCTAATTATGCAGCCTATATTATCTCCTCTGCATAGCTACGCACGCAGTAGGCAAGTAGTTATATAGCCTGTATTAATAAGAGGCTCTAGGGCGCATAAAGGCTTAGTAGTAAGCCTTTTCTATGTAGCTACACACGCAGCAGGTTGCTAATCTTGTCTTTATGTAATTATTTAATCTAGGGGCGTGTATAAGGCTTATTTACACCCTCTCTATGTGGCTACGCACGCAGTGGGAGTAAGCTTTTTATATAGTAGCAGTTTTATTAATCTTTATAAATCTGTCTATTAAGGATAATATTCTCTGCGTAGCTACGCATGTAGTAAATAGTTTATTAATAAACTAATTAGTGTTAGTTAACTTAGGTTTAATTAAATAAACATACACCTAAAAGGTGTACTAAGAAGTAAGTAGGTAAAAAAAATTTTATTATTAACTACTACTTTTTTTTATACAAAGAAAAAGGGCTCTTAAGTACACATAGCCCTAACGCACAGGCTAGATAGCTAACGTTTTAGGCAACCTAATTTAGCTGTACGCGTGTACAGACACAGCTGTACTTACGTACAGACAGATAAAGAACTATATTTACTTTAAAATAAAATAAAAAACTTACTTACTTAAAAAAAAGCTAATAAACCTTAGTAAAATTAAAGCTATAAAAAAAGTAAAAGAAATAACACCTTTAATAAAAAAGAAATAAGAAATAAAAGCTCTTTACTTTAAAAAAAGTAATATTAAAAAAAGCTTATTTAAATTATAAAAAAGTAAGTTATTTTTAAAAAAATTACCTAAACTTTAAAAAAAAGAAGAATAGAAACACTATAGTAGTAATAAAAGCTTAAAGTATAAAAATAACTTAACTAAGAACTTTACTAAAGATGTAAAGAAAACTATAAATCTATATAATGCTTTAAAGAATATTAGAAGATAGAAGTTTATAATAACTATAACTTATACTAAGCGCTGCAATAAGCTGTAGTCTATAAAGGCTACTAAATCATAGCCTAGACTATAGAATACATTAAAAGCATACTTAAAAAAAAGAAATAATTCTCTCTTAGTAACTAAACATATAAAACTTTAGCTAGAAAAATAGCTAGAAGATTTCTATAAAGAACCTACTAGATATGCTTAGGTAAGCATAAACTACAACACTGTAGCATCCTATATTACTAAGCATTAGTAGGAAATAATATAGAATTATACACAGCTATTTTTATAATAGCTAGAGTCTAATACTATATACTAATAAAAAAGAATTAATAAAACTTTTTTAAAAATATAGTAAACTAAAACTAAAAACTTAAATAGCTTTTTCATAGATTTTAAGTCTTACTTCTAAGTAAAAAAAAGTAAGTACTTTACTACTATTAATAGTTATCTTTTAAAAAGAATTAATAACATAAAATAATAAACGTAAATGCATTCTTTATAGAAGTAGAAACTACTAAGAAACTACTTACTAGTATAAGAAACACTCTATACAGATAATAAAAACCTGTAAGTACTTATAATAAACATAATAATAACTAATAGCAGTAAGAACTAGTAGAAGTAAATGCTTTATAACATAGTATCTTTGTATAAATAAGTATTATAGAAGCTATTAGCTAACAAAGCACTAAGCTAGATAGTAGCCTACAGGAAGCACACCCTAAGGAAAGAAAACTAAGAAAATAGACAGATAGGCTACTACATAGAAAAGCCTAGAGTGTATATACTGTAGAACAGCCCTACTACACAAATAAATACTATAGACAGAATGCAACTACTAAGTAGAATGCGCTTTCTACTACTTCTAGTAGAAAGCCTAACAATAGAACAGTTAATTACTTTACTATAGAAGAGTAGAAAACTAAGACTACATTATAGAAGACTACATAATATAGAAACATTAACACTTTAGATAAATAAAAAAAACTACTTTAAATAAATTTTTAAAATAGTAACTCTATAAACTTTAAAAACAACAACATACTTAAATATAAAAAAAAATACTATAACATAAAGGTTCTAGTAGTAGTTAGATAAGGCTTAGAATAAAGCCTTACTATAAAAGTTATAATAAATAGTGTTATTAGAAATGCATTTGTGTAGAAAAAGTAGTTTAGTAGAGTCTTAGTAAAAGTAAGTAACTTAGGTGTGTAAGTAACTTGTCTATAGAGTACATTACTTAGCTTTTATAAGTTAGCTATAAAATTAGCTTATAAAAGTTATTTAGTATATTAGTTATTTATTATTATTTTTTTAAAAACTTTATATATAACTATAGTATATTACTTTAAAAGTGTAAGCTATATTTAATATTCTTTTAGCATGTTTAAGTAGTGTTGTTAGGAATGCATTAGTGTAGGAAGAGTAGTTTAGTAGGGTCTTAGTAAAAGTAAGCAACTTAGGTGTGTAAGCAACTTTTCTGTGGTGTATGTTATAGTACAACCTATGAATTTACCTGTTATAGTGTACTGCTAGTTACCCTCTCTTATCTACTTAAATAGTACAGTACACTGTACAGCCTCAAAAACTACTCTGTTACGTACAGATGGCCACGTTGATGGTGAGAAGGGTGGGGAAAGAGGGAAATAGTGCGTTTACTATGAGGATTTATTGAATTAGAGCTGTGGCACATAGGCTTGAATGGCAGAGCATTTGTATTCCCTCGACTGGGCTCGCTTCGTGGTCGACGTCGCAATAGAGTTCACTTTTATCGTAACAGTTAGCATATTAGTAAATCTAATCCGTGACTGTGTGAACCAATTCATCAACAGTTTCCACTCCTGCAAGGCAGCGGATGAACACTACAGGCCCAGGTTTAGTCTGTCCAACAGCTCCAGTTCTACTCTTGGTGTACGAATCTCTCGAACGAGGATAAAATTAATCAATATAATCCGTAACACCACGCTCCTAAAATCTTTATGAGCTCATATAACCAACCCAGCACCACCGGATATCATGTCATGCCTATGTAACTTACTATTGATCGAGGAAAGTAAAGCAAAAAGCGCAAAGTGTAACCGAGGAAAGGCGTTTGCCGCTCTAAGAAACCCACAAGCCTCTACACCATCACCTCATTTACTCACAACCTGTCCATCCGGGCCCTCAATCCTTACCTTCGGCGCAGACATCCCCTCATATTGCCAAGACTCAAACCGCTCAGTCCCAAGATTGTGTCCCGCACTGCCATCATAGCTCTCCCGATTCACCACAATCGTCTTGTCAATATGCACCTCCAGATTCATACCCTTGCCCCAGCCGCCTCCACCACCATTCGTACTCCCATCATCCCGCAACACACGCTCATCAGAGTCTAAACTGCGGCGACTCATTGTCGCGAGTTGCTTCAACTCACGGCCGAAGTGCTTCAACCCCGGCTCTTCCTCATACCCCGATTTTGCATGCTGGGATGTTACGCTCTTAGTCGTACTCTTACTGAAACTGCGTCGCCCAAGCTCGATATCAGTGACCTTGACGCTGCTGCTTGTTTTGCGCGCACGGGACCCGAGCGTTATCCTCGACGGCCCGTTGCGGTACTCTGGGAGGCCCGAACTGGCGGATGATGCGTTGCGGAGGAAGTGGATGCGTTCGCGGAGAAGCGGCCAGATACCTGGGAGATTGGCGACGTAGACGGCGACCGAGGCTTCGCGGGTATACCATAGCATGTACGATGTATCGTAGACATCAGAGAGGTTGTAAAATTTTGTTAGGATGGCTGCTAGGATCTAGCCAGGAGTTAACAAAAGGGGGCCATTCTATAGGGTAAGGTATGTAGTGCTTACGACGAAGATACCCATGCTAAAGACGATACCCAGCACGATTTTCTGCTTCAGGGGAAGCGAAAGAGAGACGACTATTGGCAGCGGAATTAAAAGCATGCCGACGTCGCTGCTCAAATTGAACACTGCTTGGACAATTGCATAATGCTGTAGAGTCGTGCATTGCGGATCTGGGGGTGGCATTCCCCAGTATCCCCGAAAAGGGCGACAAGAGGTAAAGAAGGCCGCCTCGATAGCAACCCATCCGATGCCGACGTAGATCGCCAAGTAAGTGACCCACGGTCTGTATTTTGTGCCGACAGTCATTCGAGCAAACATAAAAAGCATGCAGCATTTCAACGCCCAAATGACGTTGAGCATTGCCTGTCGTCATACGTCAGCCAGAAAGTTGATTATTTCCCTCCCCTAGGAGGCATGGATACCCACCTGCTCAGAAACAACGACAATCTTTGACCCCTTAATCCGCCCCTCAATATCAGCCTCTGTAAATGTAGCAAATTCCTCAGGAAGATATAAATTGCTTCCGCCACCCGTTACAATGACATTCAGACAAACCACTAGCGCTGTATAAAGCGCGGGCACCACTGTCACCATTATCCAGTCATCTGGAGCTAGAAGGGTGAAACTTCGAACTCTGTACCATCGAGCATACCTGCAGTTAAGACGTTAGAATCTCTCGCTTCTCTCAAGTTTGCAGCATTTGCACGGTGCCACTTACGCCCGGAGTGCAATGATAAACATGCCAATACCGTATAGAGTCCATGACTGCGCCTCCAACATATGCTGGAAGCTAACTTCGAAACCTTGACCTCCCATGGCGGCGTTTTGAAGAAGAAACAGCCAAGAGATAGACAGGGAGAGATACACTGCTAGAGATACACCGAAGAATGAGTGTTACGAGCTGAGTTGGTGGGGGAATGAGGGGACTAGCTTATTTAAAGCTTGGACGCATGTATGAGGACGGGTATGTAGGAAGCCCCGAAGATATAATGGAGTCAAGGTAGGATAGCCATGACTGTGATGATGGTGACAGGCCTGGGCGGAGGGTAAACCTGGGGAATCCACACACTATTATTCTTGCTATCTATGAGCTGTGGATAGCTTTGAGGAGACGGAGGATACCCCCACAAGCGAGTGTGCTGTGGAAAATGGTCTCGCAGCTAGAGACGGAGAAGGCTTCTGTTTTCCTCGGGAATTTAGGGACATGCTGAACTTCCAAAAGGAAATGTGGCTATCCAACTAGATTAGCTTCCAGGCATTTCTTCTAACGACGATCTCAACTGCCGCTCTCAGCCCATATTTTACCAATAGCTGCAATCTCTAATAGTCGCCCATTAGAAGGGCTATCTGCACCACGTTCCTAGGAAGCCACCTGCAGCCGCCGCTCTATCAAGCTCACAACGCCACGGGGGTTGGCCAACAATTTCACGAGCATTGCTAGAGTTGACAAGGTGCAGTTGTTTTTTGTCGGCCAGGTACCAGGAGCTAGGGAACGAGAAGGGTCATGAAAGGCCCATTATTGGTGAGCGAGAACAAGCAATGCTTGCACTCTGGCGAGAGGCGTGGGATGACAGTAGCCGAACCCGGTCCCCTGCAAGAGAGAAGCCTCTCGCGACAACAGACACAACACCAAACCAACGGGTGCGGCCTTCGTGAAGACCATCGCGCCGCAACTGAAACGGAAGGTCAGCGAATAGTGTTTAAAAAACTTTCTAAGAGAAGACTGGTATGCGGTAGTACACAGTACTGTATCTCTACGAAGCACGAATCCGAAGTAGATGTTGAAATTAGCACCTGAGAAAGCATCGGCAATAATGTTAAACCGACAAGACAGCTCGCAACAAAATACTCTTCTCGAAGCTGGTATTGGGTGCATATCAATCTCGGTATTGCACTCAAAAGTCGAGCCGCTCGGTGCCCACCGTAGAGGCTAACATTTTGCTTGGAGAACAGCTAGAGTTGTAAAAAGGCACCATCACGCATGCCCACGCGGTGAGGTGATACAATATGCAAGTAAGGTCATGATGCACTGATATCCAGCCGCAGGACCGCGTGCTCTGTGGGGAAAATTGCGTTGCGAGAGAATAACAGGGGAGATGTCAATGATAAAGGGGAAAAAAAGAAACATCTCAAAAGAGAAACTACGCCAAGCAAAACTTTTGGCGGGAGGCCCCCCACGGCCTCCACGTGCTCCCTGCATGTATGTCACGCGCCTCAATAAACGATCAACTTCCAACCAGGACACGGAGATGGATGGCGAGTTGGCCACAGACCATAGTAGTTAACATGTCTCAGAAGCTTCATGCTTCTTCAACTGTCGCTCACAATGGATGCGACTCTCGGTGTCGCATCGCTCATATGTTCCGACGAATGGCATCAGTTTCACCAATTTCCAGTAGATGAAAGTTGCAGAGGCGTTGTTCAAAGGCTTGGACGTCGATTTGGATCAAGTCCGAGACTCATAATACTATATACGATGAAGTGGAAAAGAACAAAACTAAACATACGAGTTTGAGTACCCTCCCAGGTCATTGCCTTTATGCGAACGCCTGCGTTAACAGGACCAAACAAACGAAGTAAAAGGAATAAGCATCGCGTAGATATTTAAACATCGCTTGAATATGCGCTGAAACGATTTCAGTTTTTACTGAACAAAAGCACGGTGACTCTCTAGAACGCCCAGCTTCCTCTTCTTGCAGCCGTTCCAATCGCTTGAGCTGTAGTATCACCACCAGCGACCATCCGTGGTTGCTGTCTTGCCCACTCGTGAATGTACACTCGCAACGCTCGCCATCGCACACATGTCTCCTCGGTAATTCCTACGCCTTTGAGGTTTCCATCTTCCCCTAACCGTATATATCCTCTTGATGTTGCCAGATGATCGTCCTGCCTAAGTTCGGACACTTCTATTCGAGAGATCCTGGCTAGCTCCTCATCAAACGTGCATGCAATAGATGGATATCCCAATGAAAGATAGTTGTACACCTGAGTTACAAAATCGTCACCAAATTCTTCCTCAATTGTAAGCTCAGTGGCTAATTTTTCGTCTATACTCGCAATGTCCGGGTTAGAAGCCGGTGGGGTAGGTGGCAGTTGGGCGAGAGCTGGTGTGGAGTGTGGTGTATCTAGAGGGTTGTCGTTCTCGACCTTAGGGGTGAGAATACCGGTCGGTCCTCTTGGAGGAGTAAGACCAGAATTAACACAACAACCACCCCACAAGCCGTTGCGGCTCGGAGGTCGGCTACCTGCGTTCGACCAAAGGGATGGCCCTTTGCTAGGTTTGTCCTGTCCGCACCAAAGACCTTCTCCATTTTCTGCTTGCTGGCTTTGCTCGGTCAGGTAGCACATCGCACTTTTCAGAGCATGTGATCCTTGTGTCGGGTCAAAGCGGGCTGGTTCGGGAGATGGGCATCGAGGAAACCTAATGTCACCACCTAGCATGGGAGGCCGTGCGCCTTTCCGCATCTGGTCCAGCTCGCCGTCCTTCTGCCATCCCCCAACAATGTTGTTGTTCGAGGAAGCGTCAAAAAAAGCAGCTGCGTTGCCCCATGGTTTATTTATTTGAGCCTCTCGCTTTTTCTTCTTTTCTTTCTCACTTGCCTGTTGCTGTTCTCGCTTCTCCCGGTGCCGTTGCATGGCAACCAACTCCCAATTGACTTCAGTGTAAGACGATTCCCGTCTGCGTTTAATGTCCTGCTCTGACTCAGACTGGTCACGGTCTATGAAGTGATCTACCGGTTCGTGGTGCTCGTCGTTTGGGAAAGCTGCCATTGCTTGCTCCCGGAGTTGTTTTTCGGCTGCTCTTGCAGCCAGTTCAAGCAGATATCCAGAGACTCTGTCATCAACACTCTCCCGCATCCGCGTCGCCTCTTTGTACATGTACGAGTGATCGGAAGTGACAGAAGGAGACGTTGATGGGGATGGTGGGTTTGAACCATCCGACTCAGACGACTCAATTGGGTCGAGTTCCGGCACCCTGAAAGAGTGGTGCGACCGTGTACTGGAGCGAGAGCTAAGGCGACGTCTTAGCAACGGGGAACAACCACGTTCGATTTCTAGGAATAATGGGTTTTGGGTGGTGGGGGCGATTGGCGTGTTCTCAGGTGGAGCTGGAGCGGGTTGGATTCGCGTCTTCTTTAGACTCTGGGTGCTGTCGCCAGGTATAGCCTCCGTCTTATCAGAAGGCAGAATAGCAGGGTTTGTGTCGCCCGCTTTGCGGGACCGTTTTGCGGTTTCAATCAGTTGGGGAGCAAATCTTCGTGGTTCTCGCTTTTGCTCCTCCTCCTTTAGCTTGGATGAAGATTGTTCCACGATTCGTGGCCTGTCTCCTTCCTGCTTGCGGCTGCTACTGGCTATTGTCTCTATAGGTTCCGGTTTGAACCTCCTCCCAGTGTTCCCTGTGAGCTGTTGTGTATCTTTGTTACAGCAGCTTTTCACTGTGGTTTCCACGGGTTGAGGAGCAAGACGTCGACTCGATCTTTCTGTAGTCCCAACGGGTTCAGGGGCAAGCCGACGGCTATACTTGGTGGTGATCTCTACCAGTTCAGGAGGGAATCGACGTCGAGGCTTAAGGCTCTCTGTTTGGCTTCGCGTATGACCATTTGAGAACTTAACAGTAGTCTCGACGGGCTCGACCTCGACACGTCTTGGGGGTGTTGAGGACATTTTGGATTATTATATCACTATCCAATGTGATTTGTCGATCAAGGCCCCTTTATGCTCATGGCCCGGGGTGACTCTGACACTACCAAGTCCTGTCACAGTAGGACTGACTTGTCGGCTGTCCGTGGAGACTGGACTAGTCGACTATCCGCGACTAGTGCAAGGCAAACTCGTGGGATAGGCGTGCGGATGCGCAGCTGGAATGCGGGGAAAGGGGTTATCGGGTGAAATCGGGAGACAGTTGTTGCGTCCGGAGTGAGGCTCCGCGCCTCGTTGCAAGTCCTCAGTCTAGCGGACTACGAAGGTCCCCTTTGCCCGTCAATTTCAATTGCGACCAGACCTCGTTCGGATCCCAAATACCGCTTCCACACGTATTCGTGGTTCGGCTGTGCACTATGTGTATTTCGTAGATATATATCGTGCGAGGGGTTGCCGTAGAGTTGCTGTGCTGAACTGTGCACATGTTAAAGCAGATTCTTTTGTAAGGGTTGATAATGATGACGAGTAATGCATACCTTACCGGTCGGTCGAGGCCGCAACGAGCACACGACAGTTGACTATCTCACCCGAGAAGTCTCCCTCTGAGGAATTGATCCTCGGAGAGGTATCTTCATGTGAAAGACTACAGTGTACGGTGTGTCAAGCAGGAATATTTTCATGCCCAGCACACAGTGACGTATTGAACCGTGGATGCGAGCGGATTCAACCAAGAGGTGTACCACAAAGCGAATAGCGCAATTTGGTTCCACGGCCTGAGTTCAGGTCGTTGTTAACGTCGCTTGGAGGCTTAATACTGTCGATTGAGGCTCCGGAGGCTCGGGGGATAGCGTAGTATGGGGTGAGGTGGTCTTGTTGAATGCAGGGATTCTGGACTTTCACAAGCCAGGCCTCGATAGCAGCGCGCGATGCTGAACAGATCAGGGAGAGACCCGGAGCGGATTGAGAAAGATAGTAGAACAGCGTATGCGTGCCCAGTCTAGTCTATTTAGAAGATATAAATAATACAGAAGCAAAAGGGGTGGTGTAATCCGGGGCATCGAAGTCATTCCAGCTGGAACCCTGATAAGCGATATTTAGTTGCGAGGACGAGCGCTCGAAGCTGGACAGGTGGACTCAGCCTTCGACGCCGCAGCCAGTCAGCCACCGACGATTCCTGCTAGCACGGAATCAACGTGTTAAGTAAGGTGAGAGGGACCAGTCGAGGGTCTGATGACAGAGACATGGACGATGCTATGCAGATGCGGCCAGAGGAGACTTTCGCTGGGAACCCGTCGGTGAGCGGACACTTGGGGATCTGCGCCGTTTCCAATGGACGTGGCTGGTCAACGGACGCACAAAACACTCCCATTCCCGGACGCCATGCGGGTTGATGAGCGAATTGCATTCCTGACCGCTGCAATGAGCCGACCAAACTAGCTAGAGATGTCCATCTGATGCTCGCGATTTTTCTTTGATGTGTTCAGGAGTCACGAAAGCACCCTCATCTCGAAATGGTGAATAATGCCTCAAACCTCATTTTCACGGCCGTGCGAATTCATTTTGGCATGGACCAGTGCACGCGCCTTCGTATTCTTCAAACGTTCAATAGCAAGCGTCCGTCGTGGACTCGTGGCCAAGCCAGCGGAATCAACCCCTTTCATCGTCAAATAACTCGAGCACGCGTTCTGCACAAGTCAAAGTCACAAGTCTCGCCTTCCATTGAGCACCTGGACGGTATTCAACAATTCTGGCCAGACCTGATGAGAAAGCAGTATGTTGCGCATAGACCAAGTGATGAGTATAGTAAGGGCACGCACGACCACTTTCCCTTCCTATTCGAAACGGCTTTGGATCTCCCGATTCTTCCTTCCAACCCAAAGGACCGAATACCATAGATTTCTGGGCTCCAATCTCACCTGGGCACTTGTTTCGTTGTAATGGATTGCCATCTCAGGTTGCCAGGACTCAGCAATTTCAATCGGGTTCACATCGAATCACAAGTGTCTGGAGAAGACTTTGGCCAACTAAACCTGTGCAGAAAAGAGAAATTTTCCAATTTAGTGTCGTCCTTAAGATTGATACCCTGATAACCCCAAAGGAATCGAAAGAGAGACCAAACCCTGCCCGAATCAATACAATTTCGCCCAACTTCCTGGTTTGATATCACCAACATGATCCCGAGCCAAATAAGGAACTAGTTTAAGGACAGTCGGTCACAAGGTGTTTCGAGTGTCGACATTCAAAGATGTTTCTCTTCTTCAACATTCGTATCTCAACGGAAGCCACCAAACTTAGAACTATCCTCAAGAAAGCCCTCAGCAGATTCGGCGCACACCATGTCGTCCCGCAAAACAAGATGCGATGCCACCAACCCTCGACAGTATCGGCGTTGCGGAGTGAGTCGAAGAGGGGAGTCTAGGAAGTGGTATCCGTTCACCCGGTCCTCAATCCATGACCCTAGGCCCGGTCCAGGGGACATACAACGAACACTCATGTTTTCTGAAGTTACAATGCTGTGGTCGTCACTGCTGTTTGGTTCGTTTCTCATGCTGTTCGCTGCGTCATCGCCGTCGTGGAGGAGAATATGCACTCGATGCACGTGCATGGGTCGTTCCTCAATACCAATCGCATGCTGGCTGAGTCGGAAGCCCTCCGTGCTATTCAAGAATCCTCCGAATTTTGTTCGAATTTCCCGGATTTCTTCTTCGGGGTAGAATGATGACCGTTGGGCCGCAAAGGATTCCAAGCTCACATGTTCTTCGGGGTCGTCTGAGCAGGGAGGAAATACCTCATCTATCTCGGAATGGTCAGAAGCAACACCAAGCGTTTCTAGCATTTGTGTCGAGGCACCGTCTTCACTACTACTTCTCCCACTATCCACTCCCTCATCAACTATGTGATTGCAACCGCTACCACTCCAACAACCGCACACGGTCTGGTTCAATTGGGGAGGCCGGTCCCGGGATGTTGTCTCTTGGCTGGCTTCATAAAGTGCCTCGTTGGTTTCGTAAAAGTGTAGCATGTTGGTAAGGGCTTTTTTGTATTTGTTGTGTGAATGGAAAGCTAACATTGGATTAGCGCTCGTAGCTACCACACTTGTCCCGCTATGCCCAAGCTTCCCTTCACGGCAAATATCACGGCCTTGTTGGTGACTTACTTCTGAAGAGGGCCAACAAAAAATAAAATCCAATAAAAAGCTGAAAGTACTCTAAGGTAAGGAGGATATCGTTCAAGTTAGGTAGGTCCGGTCATGGAAAGTTGGACAAGTTAGATAAGACCAACCGACTCCAAGAGTAGAAGAATTTTGAATAACACAGATCAGATCTTACAAGAGCCAGAGAGAAAGAAATCAGAGCTAGAATTCGGGAGAGAAACAGAAGGGCTTGGGAACGAGAATCGATGACATTTATGCATTCTTGACGCAAGGAAGATCAAGCCCGGGCAAGCCGAGACGAGCATGTTTCGCAGGACACAGCGGTCCTGTGATTTACAAGACTGATGACACGTCGTCCCTTTGGCCAAGGTGCGTACCCAATTGTATGGAAGTGGATGTTGATTTGCAATTCCCATAACCTCCATAAGGCAGCGGAGAACGACCCTCGTGCCCAGTTCCACACCACCAACACCAACGGTAGCCATCCCCGTGTTCCCTACGTTGTTTACAGTTCACAATTCATCAGTAGTACTTGTATGGCAGCCCAAGTATCCATCAGTATCCGAGTCACACACCTCTACTCTCCGGTCAGGCTGACACGGCCGAACATAACCGCGCTTCCTGAACCCTCCATCGACAATTCGAACTACCTCAAGTTATGACATGTAGCCCACAACCTGACTGACGTGGTACCAGCTACGAGTTCTGCCGAGCAGAAACCCGAACTTTTGCTTCTGAGCACTATTCCTATTTAGTTCACCGCTCCATTCTCCGCACATTACGCCGTTCGGTATCTTCATAGGCGTTCCCCGATCTCCCATCCTGTTCCTCCACCTCTTTTGTTTCTCCTCCGCGCCCGGCTCGCGGCTATCTCTCTCCCTCATTCGTGGCCCTATTTTACCATCCCAGTCGATCCTGCATCAATCGAACACGTGCATTTCAGCACGTGCGCCCGTTTTCGCTTGTTGCCGGTATTTCTAGGTTGGGTTCCTTTTGCGTTGTGAGTGCAGCAGTATTTTTGACCCGACTACAGACCGGTCTGAGAAAAACTGCGCTGGCTGTCATCTGCTTTCTGGAGGACAGTGGTAAACGACACTCTTTGGGTTGCTCAAGGGCACAGCATCGGATCACTCGACACTAGTCTGCCTAAAGTATATTTCAACTGCCAATCAATTGCATACGGGCGTGCGGTTTCTTGGGCATTGTTGGTCCTGCGAGACGCAAGCTGAGGCAGAGAATGAAGCATCTCCGGGGGCTCCAGATACGCGGTTAGACGAATAGCATCAGTCGCTGAATCCTACACCCAACCTCAAGACTAGGGTTTCCTAGATTGGATTATGGTCCTCGCCGACTCAATTGGGATAGTGTAGGCAAACTTCATGACGTTTGCACAGGATAGTCATGCAGATGTAACGTTCTCTGCAGCAATTAAGCCATGCGGGGTAGACCCTAGCGCAGTACAACAGAGCTGTAATTCTACATCTTCTATTTCTATTTCTCGCATGTCTTCTAAGTGCAATGAGGATCACACACGCAAAACGCCCCTCCAAACTGTGTCTCTCTCATGCAGTTACCACTGTGTTTAAATCATACAGGATAGTGAATCATACACATGAAGCAAACGTGAGTCGCTTACAAACTAGCTCCCCAGACAGCATCTCCTTCCCTTGTGTCGGGTTCATTTGTTATGCCAGACGAAATTCCTTAGCGAATCCCAATGATCCGATTGTACATATCTGAGTATAGTCAGTAAAAGCCTAGCGCAAGGCAATAACCCTGGAGGACCCACATATACTGCATACTACTCCTCAAACTGGGCTGCACAGTCTCTGGATGCCATCTGAAGACATACATGACCATAGCCCAACTCACACTCGCAAAAGCAGGCCACGCATTCCGTGTGATTTCTCTCCTGAGCTGCTCGTTGGATATTAGACCCATGCCTCCTCCGCCGCCTTCGATCTTCCCCACGCCTCGCGGTTGCACAGCTAGCTTCGCTATCGCTAGACATACTCGAGCGAACACATATATGACGATTTGTTGGGAAACTGAGTTGTGGATGTCGCGGCCGAAGACCATGTAGCCGCCGAAAAGGCCCGCGAGGAATGCGTCGTAATGGCGTTCTTTACCGGTTGGGGAGGTGTACCGGAGGAGAAGCATGGTAGATTTGTATGCAAGAGCAAAGAGGCCGAGGTTGCGGGCATGTTGGCGGGTGGCTTTGAAGACGAGCCAGCATTTGGAGCGTAATCTGGGAGGAGGGGAGTGGAGAGTTAGTGGGAGCTGGAGGGAAGGGAGGATGGGGAGACATTGGGGGACGTACGAGCCGTGGCGGAAGAGAAATATCATTCTATAAAGTGACAATGTCAGTATGAGGTACAAAATGATGGAAGATAGAGATCAGACACCAAAGCGTGCGGAAACCGCACTTTGGTCCCATAGACAATGCCATTGCGGATGCCTTTCACGAGCGTGAGAATGTCATGGTACTGTGGGTTCAGGACTATTTTCTCGAGTGCAGACTATACAAAAGATTAGCCCGGAAGTTTTTCGAAAGCCCTGTCTGGTGATACCGTACCTCGAGCGCCTGTAGCCGGTCCATTGAGATACTATGTCGAGCTTCGGACTCGGAGCTTCCAACCTCGGTCTGCTGACTTAGCGATTGCTTCTAGCTGGCGAGGGTACGATTCAACAGTGTTGATGTTATTAAGAGAAGGAGAAAACAGCACGGGGTCTGTGTGCACAGGACCATTGAGAACGGGTTGTGAGAGGCTTGTGGTGTTTCCGGCTCGGCGAACTTGCATGCGCCGTTGTCGTGAGTGATGAATGGCATCTTCCTCGGCTCGCGTCACAACACCGGCAGCCCATTTCCCCACACTCTGTGTCCGTCCAGCCACATGACAGGGGTGCTTGACATGTGAAGATTAGATCTTGTGGCCGCGATTTTACATGTGCCCTTCGCTCATAGGGGTTGCTCGTGCAAAGGGTCTATACGTATTTTCAATTCAGATGGTTATATCAATAAATTCAAATATCAGGTTATGGATCTAGTATTGGCCTAGCTTTTGGTATCACTAACAATGCAGTCCGTCCAGCGCCGCTACTCTAATCCTTGGTTTGCTCCCCATGTGCGCTCTATTCGGGTGCCTGGTGCCCCTCCGTAAATGCCGACTCCTGGATTTCAACGCCATGAAAATGCCAATTAATTCGCTCTATGGATGGATCGCTCAGGCCACCTCTTCCTCAATTCCTCATACACAGTGAAAATAAATGCTGAGCTGGGCGCGGACCTTGCCACGGTAATACCACATCCGCGATAGAGTCCTTTCAGGCCATGTTGCTTCCATAACACCCTGCCAACAGCGCCGAAGGTCGACTTGCCTCCGGTGATTTGTTTGACGTCCTCTGTCTGCATCCTGGACTTAATCGTGTCTGCTGGGTAGAACAGGAAGTTGTATGACATGCCTGCGACGGCTCCGGCCGCCATTCTCTGGTATACGGGGAGGTCATCGCCTTCATGACCCGGTGCAGGATGGCTAAATTTCTTGAACAAGAGCTTCATGCCCTCAAAGCCGCCAAACCAGGCTGCAGATCCCCCGGTTTCACGGATGAGGGTGCCCAATTGACCGTGCCAATATCCCATCAATCCTTGGTGGCGGTAAATGGACCCAATGATGTTGAGAATCCCAGGCCTTGCGATGTTTGCGGCAGGAAGGACCTGCATTTTACACTTAACCAATTCGATTGGTGTGAGGAAGAGTGACGTGAATGCACCCGACGCGGCGCCACACCAGAGCAGTGTTGAGTACGGTAACTCCTGCTCAGGGTCATGCTTCATCTCTGGATAAATGGTTGCCTTCATGGCATCCTGCGCTATGCGGTACTGTCAAATGCGTGAGCCGATCGCTTGAATCCCCTGTAGTCTGTTCCACTAGACTCACGCTAAAGAACAGACAGCTTGTCTCCACCGCGGCGCCGACCAGCGGTGCGCTTATACCCCTGTATATCCCAATAAATCCATCTTGCTTCAGCGACTTCTTGAAGCAGTCCAGCGGTCCGGTAAATTGTAAGGGTAGATGATCCGGTTGTGACTGAAGGCGCACCTTGACCGTGTCGAAAGGATACTCGACGTACTTGCCGACAATACCGGCGATCGATCCGCATGTAATATCTTTTATGGCTTCCTCGCCTTGCCCATGGACGACGTCTTTCGGGGGAGCTTCCCCCGCGAGACCTTGGTGGGTAAGCTTACCTCCACTCTCTACCACTGGTACTGAACTCTGTGTAACTTCCATAAGCCCCTAAGTCAGGTCCGTTTGTGAGGAGGACGTCGCAAGAGATCATGAGGGACTCATCGTGAACTTAAAAAGAAGGACACTCAGGACGCGGTGAAGAGGTGAGGAGGACGATGCGGGTTGACGTGTGGATGTTTATCATGTGCAATTTAGACAAACGATTTCGTTCGGCGGACCGAGGTGGGACAAGGAAACCGGCTTGTTATATATTCATCGGCGGTGGCTCGGAAGGCGTGGTGTTAGACGCAGAACGACGAAATCGGCGCAGGTGTGCTTCCCAAAACGAACCAATCTTGTTTAGGCTATGCGGAACCTCCCAGTCCACGTGTTGATCTTTTCAGATACTAGTAAAGCGTGGGTCGAATGGATAATGCAGGTAGAGTTCAGCGCCGGAATATGATGGCAAAATGGACGCGGAGAAGGTGAACAGAAGTCTGGAAGAAAAGTGAAGAATGGAGATCATTGACCTTCCTTTTTTACCCAGCATCCAGCAGATTCAGACGATAAGTCTTTATTCACTCTGCTGATAGTTTGACCTGCCCCACCCTACTTACGGAACTTCCATGTGCGGAATGCCCTTCGGCGGGACCCGGCTAATTCTCGGCGGGAAATTTTATCTTACATTGCTCAAAACTTCCCTTCACCCCTTCACCGTCTGAACCTGGTCCTTTCTGCGCGTAATTGGGGCCAGCTCGAAAGCTCCCCATAATGTCCAAAGAAGCCCAAGCTATGTTGGCACCAGTCGCGCAGACGTCTGGTGTGAAAGGACTTCGCACGAACGGTGGTTGGCCCTGGGTTAATTTCTGGTCTTTCACAGCACTGACCACAGCTGGGTTTAGGCAAACAATGGCATCAGACGAAGACTGCATTCCGGCCACGAGCCAACCAGACATCTTACGCGAAACGTACGGAGGAAAGAAAAGCTCATGCTGCTACTAAGGCAAAGGAAAAGGATATGAAGGAGGAGAAGGAGGCGGCGCGACAAGTATGTGCCCGACGGGATAGATAATGAAATACTGTTTCTGACCCAGCAATAGCGACGGATTGAAGTTATAAGGACGAAGAGAGCCGCCAAGGGGGAGAGAGAGAGGTACCAAAAGATGGAGGAGAAGATGCATAAGAAGCGAGTCGATCGTCTAAAGAGACGAGAGAAACGAAACAAGATGCTCAAATCGTGAAGCAAAACTCCCGATGTCAGGCGCAGACCACTTTAGGTCTCAGGAAAGACATATACGTTCGCCTGGTGACCTCGACCCACGAGGGAGGCCAAACATGCGCCTGCTGAGAGGCACATCGCTGCTTGGATGCTCTGTCACGGCAGCTTAGCGCTGTAATCATTGCAATACCGGAGACTTTCTAGTGTCCATCAAACTGACATACACACACTTTCGAATACTCGGTTGTCGAGAGAGGATGGGGCAACTTGGGATGAAGGGAGCTTCATACAGGCCAGAGATGAGTTTCGGGAGACTAGCCCACCAGTTGAAGAAAACAAATAACTGAACATTTTCGAATCACCATTGCTAGGATGTGCTGAATACAGCGCGGAGAACTCGCAGTCTTGCCCACGTGAATTGGTGATTGTTGTACCGTTTCAGGGTTAGCGCGACTTGGTGACGCAAGTCGAGCCGCAGAGAACACTCACTGTGCTGCACTTAGTAAATATCTCGCGCACCTTCAACATGATATGGAAGCGTTTAACGCCCACGATCGTCCCAACGGGGCACAGCATTTACAACCGAACATTTTTCAACCGCCGAATCCACCGCCGCGCATGAGCATCCACCCGCAGAGCTCTTCGACTTCCAAGAGATCGCACCTGCATGGGCTGCATCATCATCCGCATAGACACCACCACCATCATTCGCGCCATGGGAAGGACACAGTGCAGTCTGCGATACAGTTACATCCACCAACAAGTTTTGGCGATCTCTTAAAGCAGGCTAGTCGGACTTCACATCATTCGCTCGCCCAAAGCGTCCCGGAGAGTAGGCGGGTGAGCGTACTGAGAGCTGATGCGAAACCCCGTCCCCATCCTCTGAAGCCAGTTCCACCGGAGGATGTCGCTAGAGAGCGTGCGAGAGTCAAGGCTCGAGAAAAGTGGGCTATAAATATTCTATAAGTTGAATAATGCTACTGACGGACTTCAGCGAACTTAGTTCCTCCCTCCAGACATTGTCCGACCAGTCTTTGAAGGCATCTCGCCAGCTTGACGATACATATTATTCGGTTTTAGAGAAAGTCGCTATCTTGAGGCAAACGATAGGCAGCCTCCAGGAGCTTTCGGGTCTGACCAAGGAGCTTCACGAGAACTTCCAAGCGGACACAAAGGAGCTTACAGAGGAAGTCAAAGTCCAGTTCGATGGCTTTAATAACTTTGGGACCCAGCAGGGCCATGTGGAGGCTTTGGAAGAACGCATCAGGGCGGGCAAAGGCAAGGCGTCTGCTCTTCATGAGAGGCTTGTAGAAGCACGGAGTCGCGTTGACGCCAGGGCTAAGCTGGAGGCAAAATGGGAAGCTAGGACCACCAGTACGTTTGCCGGGCACATTTGGAACCACATCTTCTAAAATTCTCTCTAGGGCGTCTTCGTATCCTGTGGGGCATTTTTGGTACCCTCATTGGTCTCGTTGTTATTGCAATGCTCGTCCAACAACTGAAACCGGTTCATTCCGCAATAGATTCTAAGAAAGCGCTAGATTTTGGGTCGAGAAGCAACCACATTGATGCTCCAATCCCTGAGTCTGCCAAAGAAGCGCTCATCAACTCCTCGCCGACTGGAAGTAAATGCCAGTCAAGCGCATCATTGTCCAAGACTATCTTAGTCCCGGAAGCGGACCCTGGGCTGCGCACGTTTGATGAACTATGAGCAACTATGCAGTAGAACCGGTGTAGCCTGTGTTTTAGAGGGCTTCAAAGCCAAGGCGTTTAATTGAAAATAGGGAAGAAAGCCAATGCCCTCATATAGTTACTCCCGACGTCAAGGCTTATTTTTTCCCATCGCAAATGAATCTTCATGACCGATGCCTTATCCTAGATCGAAATGAGAGCATAATAGCAGTCTAGGATACATTGAAAAATGATCTCTCTTTGCAGACCCGCCACCGAAAGCAGTTTGGGCCATTTCATTAATCCCTCTTGATGATAGTACTAAAATCCCAATTATTGAGATACCCGCAGCTAGCCTGTAATACTGTTCAGTCACAGGCTGTGCGGCTATTCACTGAGACTTACGCTCAAGTATGTGGCAAAGCCGAGCCACGAAAGATATGGAGCGAGAAGCCATCCGCAGACTGGGTCAACTTGGCCCCAAGTGTATGCAAGGTACCCTGTGATTCCAGTGAGGGCGACGATATCCGCAACAGCTTCAATGGGCCGACCAATACCAAAAAACAAAGGCATCCAGATAAGATTTAGGCCGAGTTGGATGCTGTAGAGTGTTGCACCTTGCTATGTTTCAGTTAGCCAAGAATGCAATAGAATCGCCTTGCAATGTATTCGATCAACAGCCATGCTTGCTTTTGGGGAGAGGCAATTGGAACTCACCTTGGCAAGATTGACAGTCTCCGGATCAAATGAAGTAGTCCCCGTAGTCCAGGCGCGGTAGGCCGTGTACCCCATCGTAGCATACAGAGCAGTCCATACAGGTCCAAAAACCCATGCAGGAGGTTGCAGCGGAGGCTGTTTCAGAGCACGATATGTCCGTTGCGTGCGGTCCGCTGAGGGAGAGGTTAGCATATGCCAATTGCATCATTTCAATTGAAATAAGTTTAAGACATACGACTGGTTGAATAACCGATTCCGGCACCGCACAGCACGGGCAGGAGGACTGAGACAGCTGGTTGCTCAAAGACAAAACTCGGCAGGGTGAGGGAGGCAATGTAGGTTGTCATCGTATTGAAGCCCGTCGAGGAAGAACGTTCAATTATGCGTGATCGTTAGCTGTCAATAATAGATTTGATGAAGAGACCACTTGGTTTCTGTCTAGGTGCGATGCGTGCCTTTTATTTCGAGTGGAGAGATGGCATTATCGAGGTCTAGCATCCATTCCAAGGGCTAGATTTGCTTTGCCAATTTAATACTAGCATGTATGATTGAGAAAATACCAATTAGTCAGCGTTGGCGTGTCCTGCACGCAAAGTATATCACCAATCAATGCTACCATTTCTTTTCAAGGCCGTTGATAACGCTGACACCATTCACACCACTGTGGAAGGGGCATGAGTCGGGACCAAGGATTCTGGACATCCCGCTAACCTCAAAAGGTTTAGGTGAAACGGCAACTCCTCAAAGAGCCTCCTCTGCTCGGGGCCTTCCTGACCTCGACAACACCTGGTATTCTTTCGACACCAGGAACCGCTTCAGCACATCGTGAGTGCGCACGCTTCTTGTCCAGTCCTATTCCCTTTTGATCGCACCCTGCCCTCATCTCAAGCTATTTGCATAGCTTCCTTTGCCTTTGTCCGCGGTCCTTACGGTTGCCGCTCTCCTCTTCTAGCCACCTCACTTCACTCCCTTTCTTACGGGCTGCTCTGGTTGCGTCAGTCGCATCGTGCGCCTTCATCCTCTTGTTCAGATTCTTCCTCCAACACCTTGTTTCTTGCGCATCGTCGTCTCTTGTTCCATGCATTTATTGTTCACTTCTAACGCGACGCCATGTTGGCAAACAGCTTCTCGGCACGATTGTCCATCGAATTCTATCCCTCCCAACCGCCTGGCGAGCTAGCGCACACAAGCACGCTTCGTCCTGAGCTCCACTCTGTGATGATCAGCCCATCATCTCCTCCGATCTCCTCTTGACCTTTGTCGAATACCAGATAATTCGCAAATCGACGGCCTTGACCCTTCCTCTACTGTCAAACTTCACAGATCAGTGTACCTTTAATAATGGATTCTTATCCGTATGTTTGCACTATTTTGGTTGGCTCGTAATGCTGACCCTTGTAGCAGTCCTCGGGAAGACTCTAGGCCTCCGGTGGATTCCTACAGGCGACGATCTCCTGGTAAGTGAAAGAATCTGCATTTGGCATTTTCTGTCCCCTTTTTAATTTATAGATGATGATGGTTTGCCATTGGTGTAATCGTTCTACAAGGGCTAACTTTTTCCAGGTCCAGCCGGCCGAAACAGGCAAAGCCGTGGACGTTCCCGGTCGCCGCAGAACATCGATAGATACCAGCCTGATCGCACCCGCGACTATGAGCATCGAGGCCGAGATGGCACTCGCCGTCGATCGTCACCCTTACCAGTCCAGCCTGGCATCGACAGATATGTTCCCGGTCAAGAGACCTTCACTCCAACCTTTACGGTCAATCCACTTCAAAATCCCATGTCTCTCGAATATCAAGTAGGATTCAATTACTTCGCCGAGTGGTGGCGTGTAGAGCAGATCATGAAGGAGGAGCGAGAGCGCGCTAAAAATGGTGGTCGGAAGCCCGTACTTAAGGGTGAGCGTGAGGCTAGAGAAGAGCGTGGCAAAGAACGCGAACAGATCCAGGCCGCCTATGACGCCTACAAAGAGAAACTCCAGGTCCAGATGGCCAAGACATTCGTCGAGAAACACAAGGACGAGGAATGGTTCAAGGAGCGATACAATCCTGAGTATCTAGGCATACTACGCCAGAAGCTCCGAGAATACCGCCACGGCATTTACCAGGATTGGGAACGTCAATTGGACGAAGGTGTTTTCGATGAATTCACCCTTGAAGGCATTTACAAGAACGAATCCAACGGTGCTGGCGGTATTGTTGAGAAGGAAGAGGGAGAAGCAACCGCAGCAAATGAAGTTCTTGGCGTTGGTGACTTACTGCCCTGCAAAGGCGGCGAGCTTCGAGACGAAGCTGCCCTCCAGCCCACCCTCCTAATCAAGACAATCGCTCCCACTGTTAATCGAGAGAAGGTCGAAGATTTCTGCAAAGAGCACCTTGGAGAAGGTCCTGGCGGGTTCAAATGGCTCAGTCTCAGCGACCCAAACCCGCTCAAGAAATGCCATCGCATTGGATGGGTCATTCTCCACCCTAGTGACGATCAGCCAATGCTTACAGATGATCGCGGTGACGGGCGTGAGGAAGAGGGTGAGGAGGTAGAATTGAGGCTGGAAACCGATGCGCCTGGCACTCTGTTAGGAACCGCTCAGAAGGCACTTGAAGCTCTGAATGGCAAGACTGTTATTGATGATGCGCGTGGTAACTTTACATGCCACGTTGGAGTTCATGAGCCACCTGCTGCACCACGGAAAAAGGCACTCTGGGACCTTTTCTCTGCGCCCGAGAGGATTGAGCGTGACTTGCAATTAGCCGAGCGTCTTGTCGGAAAGATGGACCTTGAGGCCAATGAGGGTCTAGATGATGATCAAGCTCACGATGGCGTTGGGAAGATTACTCAGCGGGTCGACGATCTCCGATCTAAGGGATGGCTTCAACCACCTGCCAATGCCCCAACAACCGTAAAGAAGGAGAAGGAGCCAGAAGAATTGGAAGAAGGTGAAGATGAGGCAATGGAAGATGAAGAAGAGGGTCTCTACGATGATGAAGTTGATGACGAAGAACTGCTCGCTAAGAAGAAGAAGCTTGACTTGCTGATCGAGTATCTTAGACGGGTCTACAACTTCTGCTTCTTCTGCGTATTCGAGAGCGATTCCGTGCACGAATTGATCCGGAAGTGCGCCGGCGGCCATCTGCGCCGACCACGATCCAGCCTCACCACTGCCGCAAAGGCGACTGCCAGGGCTACGGCAACCGGACAACAGTTCCCTTATAAAAAGCAGGAATCATCTGGAGATGCAGAGATGGAGGATGGCATAGTTGAGGAGAAGAAGGGACCCAAGCTTAGCGGTAAGACTCAACAGCAACTCCAGAGGGCATTCAACTGGGTGAAGACCTACGAAGATAAGCTCCTGCAGCTTCTTGAACCGGAGAGCGTCGATCTCAAGAAACTTGGTGGGAAGCCATTGGAGGAAGCCATTGAAGACGAACTAAGCAGGTTCGTTAAGCAAGAGGACGAATCAAAGTGGCGCTGCAAGGTTCCTGAATGTACGAAGCTATTCAAGGGTCAGCACTTCTGGCGCAAGCATGTCGAGAAGCGACATACTGAGTGGTTCGAGAAGCTGAAGCACGATGTGAGTCCTCGCTGTTTGAGCGTTTCGTTTTTCTTACTAAAGCCTTTGCAGATCAATCTTGTGAATACTTACGTCCTCGACCCTGCGCACATCGCTCCCTCTCGTAGCGACGCCAATAGCAACGGCCACTTCCCAATGGGCAACCATGTCGCAGCTGGTACTCCTCGAGGGTTCAATCTTGCGAACATGCCGTTCGGTCTTGCTGGAAATAGTGTACAGAATGGATTCAATCTACAGGCACTATTCAATCCGGCAGGGCTAGGTGGTGCTGGCAACTGGGGTCCAGGATTTGGTGACGATGACCGACATCAATCTGGACCAACACGCCGTGGTGGCCACCGCTTCAACAACCGAAGTGGACCGTATGACCGACAACAGCGGGATGGACGAAGTGGTAGACCCAACGGCGGCAACGGGCGCTTGACGCCTCCCCCACGTGGTGGGCGAGGTGGTGGAGGCCCCCGATACGGCGAGGGTGGACCAGGAAACATTCAGTCGACCCAGGGTCGTTCCATCCGGAGTTACGAAGACCTTGATGCCGTCAGTGGTGGCAACACGGAGCTGAATTACTAGACGCTGGGAGATATTGTGGCTGTGAATGCTGCAGGTGCCGGCGTTGGTTCGTCTCAAATGCAGGTGGTTTCTTTTCCATGTGCGATACTCGACCACTCACCGTAGGGCTGGCGTTCCTGAGGAGCTGGCTTGCTTATTGCTCCTCGGCCCCTAATTATTCGGCCTTCGGACTGTCAGCCAGGTGTCCTTGGCGTTTATGTCGGCGCATGCATGAGTTTACATGGCGCTTGGAAGGCTGAGGATCTCTCATCCTTCCCTTTCTGGGTATTTCCTTCAAGGTTGCGGGTTTCTAACTTCACTTTGTAGGTACGTAGTTCAGATAGATGCAAATCGAATGTAACCCCGAGAAAGAAACGCGAATTCAGGTGGTGAACGTGACGGCGTGGAATAGGGTGCAGACTGCTGGCACAGTGTCGGGGACGTTTGAACAAGCTACGCGATGAGACGTGATGCGAACGAGGGGTCGTTCCGAGAGCCAAGCAAAGAGCGGGGGATCAGCTCTGCACAATCTTGACTTGAAGCACTGCCATAGATGCCGCTCTTACAAGATGTGAATTGAATCGGGGTTTACGTGTGCTGGTTTACCCTTTGCAAGTAACTTCTTCTGTGCGTGGTTTCAAGCGCTTCGCTGTGCACTGCGCCTGTTCCAGTGATGAATGAGGCTTGGCCGTTAGCCTGCATCTGCATCTGCATGTGGGCAGCTGTCGTTCTGCTGACAGACAGGCACATCTGCCCTCTGCCTTCTTTTGTGCAGCAGAAATCCCCCAGCACGACTCCCGGCTGACCACTCATCCGCCTGACTCTCTCAGGGCCAAGCTAGTCTTGTCCTCAACACCATCGCTACACAGCGACATGCAATCATAGAGCCTCAGCGCTAGCCAGGAGCCTTCCCTCGCCGTCGTCATTGCCACGCGTTGATATCCATTCTTCACAAGGCGTCGGTGACAGCCCGTTTATAAATCCCACAGCTAGCCCGGTCTCACCCTCCGCACTCTTCCTAATCCCCCTCCACTCATCATGGCCAGCAGCGAGCCACCAACCCTCAAGCTCAATGGATCTGCAGAGCCCACGACTATGGACACTCAACCTTCAGTGGAGAATTTTGGCCAGTTTAAGGAAGCGCAAACTGAGAGGCCCCGTCCAGCGCGCGCCGCAGACTCCAACTTCTCAAAGCTGTCCACCACATCGGTCCCTCCAGAAGGCTCTATTTTGACTGGCAAGCAGGAGCATTGTATGTGGCACAGCTCTGCTTCATCAAAGGGATACTAACACCCAATACAGACCTTAAACGCGAGCTTGTTTCCCAGCAGACCAAATTCGAAATTGCCGAGCTCTCTTCCCCCACAGCCCTCCAGCGCTTCGGTGCACCCTTCCGCTCAGATGCCGGCGAGGTCGCCCCAGAGGACTCGGAGCTTCCCATTCTTCGCTACATATTCGTACATAATGTCCGCAATTTCCCATTCTTAGACAAGGCCAAGGAGAAGGAGTTCTGGCAAGATAAACTACAGACTGTATGCTGGCTCCGACATCATTATGCAAGTTGCAATATACTAATCCCGGGGATTTGAATCTAGTTCCTGGAATCGTTTGCAAACAAACATGTTTCGTCCTCGGAAGACCGCCTAGAAGAAACTAAGAGGAAGAAGCTCGCACTGAAAGCGGAGAAATTGGTGGAGCTTATGATGGTTTCAGGCATACCCACTGCCTCAGGATATGAAGAGAGGATACGCTTCTCGGAAATGGAAATAGTCGAGCGAGGTGCGAACGAGAATGGGCTTGCGATTAACGCTCCGAGCGGCCATTCTATTAACGGGTGGGATGTCAATGTTGCCGGTGTGCGGACCATGTCCGTTAAGAAGCATGTTCGATATCACACCCACGCCGTGAGTCCCTCTCCTGTTCAGCTTGTTTTCTCGACGAACTTCGTTTCGTTAATCTAACGAATCTGCTGACAGGAATATCTAATCCGGGTGAAACAATCCGAGAAGGAAGACTTTTATGTGGGTCGCCGTTATGCAGATTTCGTTCACCTCCATAAGCGTATCCGACTAGAGCTTCCTGGTAAAGTTCTACCCCCACTTCCGCGAAAGAACAAGAAGGACTCCCTTCTACAGCCCTTGCCAACTGCGGACGATGATGATATCTCCATCTCATCGGTGTCAACCCAAGAGCCTGCACCGGATCCGTACGAGAATGGCGGGGCGGGCGGGCTCCGAAGCTATATCTTCAGTAACCACAAACAGAACAGCTCCGCGACCTCGCTGGCCAGGGGCCGCTCTCCTCGAGCATCTAATGATAATATAGCCTACAGGGAACCCCGAGTGCTCTATCGAGAAGAACAGCGGGTTTCCCTACGGGCTTTCCTCCGGACATTTCTCCAAAACGAGGTCATTGCACAATCAAGCGCAATGGTGGAATTCCTCACTGGTAACCCTATCGAACTAAATGAAGAAGAAATGGAGGATATCGAGAGGCGGAAAGAGATGGATGAGAAGCGCGTCGAAGAACAGAAGCAGTTCTACGAGATTGCAAGACAACGAGCGGCGGAACTCGACATTCATATGGAGAGGTTTAGACGCGAGATTGTCGAAGCCAATGGCTTATCTCACCTTTTCCAGGAGATCAGGGTCAAGAACACGATCGCAGAGCTTAAACCTGAATACCAGAAGTTTGCTGAATGGTTGAGGATTGAAGTCGCGGCTACTATCTACCACCTCTTCCTTGCAGAGGATAATTCACCAGAACTGTTCGCTCAAGCCAAGCGCATCCACTCTCTCGTCCCCTACACCGTCCTGAAGAACGTCATTAGGATAGCCAACCCGGCAGCCGTCATGAGCGGAGTCTTGGATCTTTTTCTCGCACAACCATTCGGCGCTCGATCCTTGCTACAACGCATGTTTGGCATGGCAATCAACGATGGGGTACGGCAAGTGCAGAAGTCGATCGACACTCTAGCTTCGACAAAGATAAAAGACGACGTCCTATGCGCAAAGATCAAAGCCTTTGTCGATTCAGACGAGGATATCAAGGAAATGGTACGGATGGAGGCGGCGGAAGAGAGCGTCGACGTCGTTGTTACCATCCTTCGATCGGAGTACTTCGAGCCCGAACTCACCCCCGCACAAGTGGAGAAAGTGTTCAACGCTTTCGTTGCCTGGAATAACGCCGTCGAAAATGTCAGGGGCGGTCACTTGAGCAGAAAATCCAGCAGTTATAGCAGCTACAGCATTAGCACTAATGGTTCGGTTCAGATGGTCGACGAAGAACTACGACAGGGCGCGGAGCTCTTTGCTCATCTGAAACAATATCTCAAGCTCTGCCTACGGCAGCGCGATAAAGTTATGATGCTCCAGATCATTGAAGAAGTATGCTAGCACTAGAATTTTGATAGTGAGAAACTGACATGTTAATTAGCCGACGACTCTACAACTTTTCCGGGATCTATTTACTATCTTCTACGAGCCCCTTGTTCGAGTCTACAAGTCCGCAAACGTCTATAACAGTATTACCGATTTCGCCTTGTTTGTGGATGACACCATCCGGGTTGTCGAAGCCTGCCAACGGCAAGATGTCTCCGCGGATCCGAACCAGACGGTTCAAGCATTCATTGACCTATGCGCCCGCCACGAAGACAACTTCTACAAGTTCGTGCACGAGGTACATATACATGACAATGGGTTATTTGACCAGCTCATGGGCTGGTTAGAGGGTATTCTCGAGTTCCTGCGTCATGGACCACGTGGCGGAGGAAAGCTGGACATGAATGCATTATTCCAAGGTGGCATGGACTCCGGCGTGATAGACAAGAAGAAGGCCATCAGAGAAATCAACTCTCTTATCCGATGGCAGACGGCGCGGAAGAAGTGGCACCAAGACAAAACCCGGCAGAAGATGGCCAGTGGAGGTGGGGACGACCACGCAGACATGCTAGGAGGTATGGGCGGTTTCAAGACGTCTGACTTCGGGCTCAATGAAGTAAGTTTCTTCTGCCTCTATCCCCATCCATCAACTTGTAGAGGTGAGATAAGATACTAACTGTCATGATAGCTCGACCTCCAAGACCTCGAGCTTGACGACGACGGCAGCTATGACGAAAGCGATAGTGAGTTCGACGACGACGACATCGCGGATCCGATACAGGCCGAACGGAAGCGCAGAGCGAGAGCACAAGAGAAATTGAGGAGAACGGCGGGTGAGCCGAAGAAACCGGATATTGAAGAGCTGACGAAATTGCATCCGACGTTCTTGAGTATGCTTCGGTCGGTGCTGGCAGAGTAGTTTCTCTAGGTATTTTGGCATGGGGTTTTGTTAATAGATAGAGAGGTAGGGAGAGGTTGTTTGTGGGTTTGAGGTGCTGTTGAAGATGAGGGCTGGGGGCGAACGCGGGATACATAGAGGTGTGTTGTGGTCCGTTTCACTTTGGTCGTGGCGAAGCGCGGACTTGTATAAGCATGGGTAGGTTGGTATAGATATGGAGGAGTGGGCCTTGGGTTGGGTCTCGTGCCCAAGGGATATTGATATCAATCCGAAAAAATCATCCTTTGTCTCTTGGATATTCATACACCCGCACAGTATACTGTGAGTAATCACTTGTGTAGACTGTGCCGTTGCAAGTCTGCTCTTAATACACTGATATCATACACTCTATATGTACAAAATATCATCATTAGACATAATGTATCCTCGTTCCCAAGTCCCATGCATTATCTCATAGCTTTCAAGAAATTTGACTCTTTAATCGCACCTCTCCGCTTCACTCGCATCGCCTTTGTTAATTCCTCTCTCGCTTTCGCGGCTTGGACGGCGCCCTGCAATGTGCCGTCTCCAGACGGTAAATCAACTGTTTGTTCGTAGATGGGGATTTTGGGAACGAGGAGATCGGGGTTTGCGAGTTGTTCTTTGCGCAGCCGTTTTGCGGCTAGGCGGCGCTGCTTTTTTGATTTCGCTAGAAGGAGGGGTGGTTAGTTAAATGTCCTGTACATACTGGATCATATAGATAGATGGTCAGATTCAGCAGTCTGGGGTGGTTGTTGCTAGACCAAACGACTGCCTGTTAATGTAAGAGGGCAGGTAGACGTGGAATAGACATACAGAACAAATCCCCTGCCCCCCCGGTCTCAGCCTGCTTCTCCCTTTCCTTCAAAATATCCCACAGCCAACTCGGGTACTCCGCGTCCTCCATAGCCACTGGATCAGTCTTGTTTTTCAGGAAGTTGAGCCCTTTGAGCGGTGTGCCGGCGGGTATGGATGACATGACTGTATGATGACCCTTCGAGTGTCCATGTCCATGTTCGAGCCCAGCTTTTTTCGGGGCCGGCGTTAGAGACGCGTTGAAGGGCAGTACGGGGGTTGAGGTTGCGGACAGTGGGGTGTGGGAGGATGCAGGAGAACCTTGCTTCGTGGTGGTCGAGATTGGGGTTACGCTTTGGAGAGTTGTAGTTGTAGTTAGGAAGCGTGGAAATTGGACGGTTCCTGAGATTCGATGAGTTCGGGCGGCTGCTCGGATGCAGTTTTGACAGATCATGTTGGTTCAATGGCGTGGGCACTGCGGTTGAAGAAAGAAGATACTAGATTCTCGGATTAAAGCTTCGATATGCGGAAGATTAGTTTCGCCGAAACTCGGAGAATTGGAGATAGCATGCCACGTGACTGATTGCTTGGACCAATACAAGTGATTAATACCAAGCCTTTGCTCTTAAGAAACCAGATCCGTTCTTGTTCTCGTCGAATGCTAAAATTATATATCTTTGAAGCATCGCTTTTTCATTTACCTCAGGCATATCGGAGTCCCTGGGGCACTATTACTATACGAGCTTAGGGTTACAAGACTACTTAGGGAAAGGTTGGCCAAGTACTTTATACAATTAAGACAGATTTCCCTTCTAAGGTTTAGCCCAAAAGGGAGTCAATGAGCAATTATGTAGTCAATGGAATTGCAAACCCAAGTAAGCCATGAAACTATAGCTTCACTTTTCAATTTGCCTTTCTTCGTGAGCGGGAAAAGACAAATAAGGTGGGCTGGATAATCCACCTACTGCCAACGATCGCTAGGTCTACATGCTGAACTTTGGGTTCACTTTGCCATGTGCATGACATATGCCTGCCAACGCACCCACATGACCCCTGTTTCCCACACACTGCAACGTCAGTCCTGCAACAGAAGATGCAAGTGCCGATAGGCGCATGTCCACGGCACGGCTTGTAATACTATCATCAGGCACTCACCCAGTCACACAGAGACACGCAAGGCACCAAAAGTAGTGAAAGGACAGATTTCAGCAATGTCAGGTGTTAGAAGGCAAGTTTCATTCAGAGATTTAATGAACCGAGGGGAGTGGTTCAAGACCCCACTTCTGTCCCGTCTGTCCTTTTGCCAACAAAGCAATGGGTTGCAGTCGTACTTGCAGTTACATGCAAGCCTCGCTTCTGTTCTGCAGACTCCAATACTTGAGACAACGTGGATGCAACCTGCCAGCTACAGCCTCCACATGGTACCTCAATAAATTCATATACAGATAGAGAGAACATTTCGTAAGCGATAGGACGGAGGATACATGAGACCTCCTAGATGTGGCCTGAGCCGGTGATGACAGTTTTCTTTCCTGAGAACGCCGGCCACCCACCCCCCAAACACATCAAACAACCAGCGAGCATGAGCAGCAGAGAATATAATTATTGCTTTCGGAAAAAGGATGCTGGAAAATAAAATATGTATGCACAAGAAATAAATTCCAAACAGAGGTATCGAGCAAGAACCAAACGAGGTATGGATGGGCCAATGACGAACAACGAGAGAACCAGTCTCCTTGGTTTGGGGTATCGTGGTTGACTTGACCAGACTGGACTTATATCCAGGCTATGGGTGACGGCGTATAGGGATTGCCGAATCGACCGCTGAATAGTGGCTTAATTTCGGCAAGATAGTCTGCTGCGCAGAATGTTGCAAGACCTTTCTCGCGAATAGCGGTCATGTCTGCATCCATCTCGGCGTCGCGCACTACACCACCAAACTCTTCGGCGACTTCGTTAAGCTGTTCTAGCTCTTTCCCGAAGGGGTGAGCCTCTTCTTCTATTGTGCCACGGAACATATCCATCGAGGTGCGGTGTTCTCGCGACGATCGATTCGAGTGAAGACTGCTTCGGGGCTTGATATTCTGCAACGACCGCTTCTGAGCGAGACGTTCGTGGGCACGCTTGCTGTGGGAGATTGCGCGTTCCGGGATCGCTGGCACGGCGTTTATTTGTTCAGACTTGTGTTGAAGATTTCCAGAAGACACAGACCGTCGAGGTGCTTTGCCGGCCGAGGCGAAGTATCCTGATAGATGGTTTGGAGCCGGCGTAGTTGATGTGGGCGAAGAATCCACGGACGAGGCATCCGTCAAGGTTTCCCGAGATCCATTTGAAGACGACCGTGAGCGGTTGGTCGAAGCGCTGTGGTCCGAGTCATCCGCCGAATGAGTCGAAGATGTCGACGAAGACACTTGTCGTAAGGTCGCAATATCTGGGGCGTTGTAGGAAAGCATGTTGGTTGTCGAGATGAGAGCCACTGGAGAAGAGATTTTGGCCCTATCGATATGCAGTCCTGGGTTCTTCATGCTTTGGGCTCGAGCTGGTGGTGGAGCCGGCACATCTGGCCGCTTCATACGCTTTGTAACAGCGCGGGCAAGCGACATGGTTGATTAAATGGAGAACAAATTTAGGTTATTGCAAAAATGTGTCCGAATATACGGTAGAAGGCCCGGTAATCCTAGAATGGTGTTCTTCGCTTTCCGGACCGCAGGAGTGCGGGGAAGGTTGCGGATAAATTGGGCAGGAGTCCACAAAGTTAAAAAAAGTCCAGTGGGCCACAGGACGACCTAGACGATACAAGGCGGCGATAAGAGGGGCAGGTGTCGCAGAGATGCAGCAACAGCAATGAACTGGATCACGTTGGTCGTCAAAGGGTTGCGTCGGGGGCGCGTGCTCTTGTCAGTGCACAACACAGCGTTTGATCGGGGTGCGACGTGTGATAGTCAGCTTTTGTTTGCATAAATCGAGCAAACTTCGGTGGATATTCCAGTTCTTCGTTGTGTGATTCTTTCTTTCAGTCGGGCTGGCTAGCAGCGCGTCGACAAAGAATATAAAGAGTGTGGTTCGAATAAAGTTGTCTGTCAAAGAGCGTAGGTAAGGGAGTCCAGCCTCAGTCGTAAGGAGCGAACAACCGGGCCGCAATAGAGGGAGTGAAGGCTGCCGTGAAGCCAAAGGGTCACGCAGTTCAAAGGGAGGGTCGAGGTGCGAAAGGCTTGAAGGAAAGGGAAGGTCGAGGGAGAGGCAAGAGATGAAAAGGCTAGCAGCAGTTGGGGCGCCTGGGGCACCGCTTCAGGAAGCCGTGTGGACTGACCATCGAAATTGCCAGGGCGCCGACCAGGAACAAGCAAAGACCAGCAAACACCACCCACTGACAGGGTAAGAAAGTCAAGGGGAGGCCGACCAGGTGGCGTCGAAACGCCCAGTTCTAGTTTAGCCTACGAATCGTTTCTTCAACTGTCCAATCAGTGGCGCCTCAAAAGGCAAGGCACAGCGCCAACGTGTCAGAGGTTTGCTGGGTCCCCTTCGCCTGTCCCGCCGGTCCGCATTGAGAGCTAAATATTGAGCGTTTCAACAACGGGAAGAGGACAGCACCGTCTCTTCAGCTTGACGATGTGGCTGCTTTGACTTTGCGCACTTTGATGGAGGTCAGAGGTGCTTTGTTCGAAGTTTGGACAGGAATTCTCCGGCCACAGCGTTGAGCATCGAGATCTCCCCAGAGTCCGCAGCGAAACGAGGAAGATAAGCTCTGGGTATCAGCGAAGGGGGGGCCGTGGCGTTCAACGGACAAACTGGCCATTGTCAGTCATCCCAGCTGTTCCTGCATCTCCAGCTAATTCGGGCGTCAAATCCTTCGCCCTCAGTCGACAGCGTGCCTTGCCGACGGCGATGCGCTGCATGATCTCTAAGCTCCCCATCCAAAATAGACACTTTTTTTTCTCATTATCGATTAGAATGTTTCTGTCATCGTTCGTGCCATTGCCTTGCATCGAATGTTTCAAAACATCTGCAAGTCTACGCGATGCCCTTTGCAAGTCATTGTCGCAGATCAGACCTCCCCCAAAATATGAATCAGTCGGAGCTCACGCCGAAGCCGATCAAGCCAAAAGTCTCAGGCCCAGGAACTCGACGACTTGTCGGTTCTTACTGTCTGTATGCTCCAGGAAATATTGATGAAATTAAATCCATCCAGAGGCTTCAATCTCGAATACCCGGCTTTTGCAGGCAATGAAAACCGGGTTACTGGCAATAATGCGAAATATCGTCCTTTCCAGATGAAACACTAATAGTTGGAAAAAGAAGGCAAAAAGAAATAGCTTGAGGTGCTCGTGTAAGAAAAGGCGAATGGCGCTGAGACGGTGTGATCTCAACCTTCGCGATTCAAAATGGCTTCCAGAAGAAACCTACCTCCAACGGCGCTAATCAGCATAGGTCCAGCATATATATCGTGGTGCGCCTAAGGAGTTGCGTAGAGTGCATGGTGTGTTTGCATTGTTCGCTCCAGCCTCGTTAAGGGCTTCAGCTTCGTGCGAGATCTGTTTTTCCTGTCTGAGGTGTTGAATGTGGCGCTAGGCACTGCTTGCTCTGCAAGGTAGGGTTCACGCTCGTAGGTGGCACTGTAAGATTAATGTCCTTTTTGGTTTGGGTATCGCATATATAGTTGCCTCAAAGAAGGGCGGCCAGGGGGCTGCCAGATCGGTGAACGAAATCAGCGTCATCGTCACTAATCTGTCTTTGCTTCACTCTTCCATCGACTCCCACCCCTCCCCGTTGTTTTCCCTTCCACTTTCTTGATCGTCGCCCTCTTCGGAATCTGAATCGGTGTCGGCCTCTTCCAATACAACAAATCGCTCCTTGACATTTTCTTTTGCGTCAGGGACTTTGTTGGCGAAGGCTGTCCGAACAGCTGCGTTGGTACTTGTGTCCCAGATCTGTACGGCGCCTTTACTTCCAGCAACGGCTAGCCTAAACCCTACTTCTTGGTCTGGGGCGAATGTGGTGGAGAATACTTTACCAACGCCAAGATCCCGCGACACAACCATGCTTGGTCCACTAGATTGAATATTCCACAACTTTACTTGCTTATCTGTAGAGCCTGTAACTAAGAATCCGGGAATTACTGGGTTGGTGTCAAAGGAGGATATGGACTCGTCATGCGCTTGTAAAATCCACACAGGCTTTGAGCCAGACGGGTCTGTAGGTGCTAGGCGAGCATCGTGGTAATGGATCACGCCGTTTTCAGTTGAGACCTAGGTCCATGTTAGCTGCGTCACAGAACATAAATACGGATGTACTTACGTAGAAGAAATTCGGATCATGAGGGTCCCATCGAACAGTTTCGACATCACTCTCCACTCCCCATCGTGGTGCCTTTGCCTCGGGAGCACGCATATCGGCTACCACCACTGTTCGATCGTAGCTACCACTGAGTAAAACGGTGGACTCTTTTGGATGCCATGCGACCGAGCAGACCTTGTCTGTATGATACGAATAGGACTTGGCGCATTTTGTGGTGTTCAGGTCCCAAAGCTTGATCGACTTGTCGGCCGATGAGGACGCTAGCAGATTTCTATGCTGACGGTTGGCAGCAAGAGAGAGAACGGCATCGACATGATATTCTTCGTTCGCTTTCTTAGATTTCTTCTTCTTCTTTTTAGGCTTCTCGGCGGTTGCTGCGTCTTCTGCACCTTGCCCGAGAATTGCATCTGGATACATGCCATCGACAATGTCCAGGTTCCACAGCTCAATGTCTGGCTCCATTGTGCCCACTGCCACGAAATTCCCTTTCGAGTCTTTATCTGCGCTTGATTTCCCAACCGGCAAGTCTAGCCACTCAACAGCCAGAGGGATTGCGGGGAGCATAATGTCATGGTGAACGTACAGATTGTCCGCTGCGTCTTCATATACGTATACTTCAAGATGAGCAACCTCGTCCTCGATTCTTCCTGCCAGCACAAGGTTGTCCGTTGCGAGTATTTGAAGCTCTTCTCTCTCGTCGTCGTCTTCATCCTGCCCCTGCATGGTGATGTATGGATCATCCTCATTCGATTCATGGAATGCCAGGTTCTTAATGTTCCCAAACATTGCCATTGTATCACCCTCACCGTCCTGTTCATCGTCGTCGTAATGTTCCAAGTCGTATTCCTTAAGGTCGTCGTCAATTTCTCTGGGAGAATGTTAGAATGATACGCGGATATAGCTTTTACAACCATACCCTGCACTCTTGACATTGGCTGTGCTACTCGAACTGCCATGGCTTTTCTGTTTCTTCTCGTTTCGGGCTTCTTCTAGATCCTCCTTGGCGTCATCTAGTTGAAGTTTTGCGAGCTTCGATATGCGATCATACTCGTCCTCGTCAAAGACGTACTTGGATGGAAAGGGCGCCGCAAACCCTCGGGGCACCCAGGTGGTTGCTGTGATCATCGACATTGTGCTTGACGGCAAAGCAAATACAAGTGCAAATTCATGCGCAGAGTGTGAAGACGTCAGACCGTGGAAAAATAATTTTTGGTGCAGGGTGGAGGGGTTAGCCTCATTCTGGCCCGAGCTTTTGTATGTATCTTCAATTCACCGCTACCTTCCCGATCAGTTACACTGACAACAAGCCTCAGGTCTCGACCATGGATCGCAATAATAGCCCCAAGCGGCGCAAGATTGAGTCGGAACACTTCTCCGTCGCACCTCGTCCAAAGAACTTCAAACCTCACAGCCGTCGAGCCTCTCCCAACTCTTCACATCCCCAGTCTCCGCGAAATCCTAACCATGAATCCACACCGCACCAGAGATCATTCGATGGCCCAGAGTCTATGGTGGACGAAATTGACTCGATGGCGCTCGATCGGGACTGGTATGGCGGAGAAGAGAACGGGCATACTTTTGGTGACGACTCTCACAATCCCTTTGGTGGCGCTGACAGCACATGGTTGAATCAACAGCGGGAAGCAGCTTTGACAGAAAAGAAGAAAAATAGTCGTGTGAGCGCAAGGCAGGTCCAAAAGCAGAAAGATGTGGACGCTTGGGAGACGAACCGCATGCTACAATCCGGTGTTGCCCAGCGGCGGACGTTTGAGAACGACTTTGACGATGACGAGGAGGCTACACGGGTCCACATCCTAGTCCACGAGCTGAAGCCGCCATTCCTCGACGGGAAGAGAGTCTTTACCAAGCAAATCGATCCAGTTCCGGCCGTCCGTGATCCTCAAAGTGACATGGCCGTTTTCAGTCGCAAAGGGAGCAGGGTAGTCAAAGAAAAGAGGCAGCAAAAGGAACGCCAGAAACAAGCGCAAGAGGCTACAAATATTACAGGGACCGCGTTGGGTAACCTGATGGGCGTGAAGGATGATGAAGGAGACAGTGCCGCTCCCCTCCTCGGTGTGGAAGAGAAGAAAGGAGGCAGTAAATTTGCTGAGCATCTCAAACGGAGTGAAGGGGCAAGCACGTTCAGTAGGAGCAAGACCCTCCGGGAGCAGCGAGAATACCTGCCAGCATTCGCTGTTCGGGAAGACCTTCTACGTGTCATTCGGGACAACCAGGTTATCATTGTTGTTGGCCAGACTGGATCCGGCAAGACAACTCAGTTAACACAATTCCTGTATGAAGATGGGTACGCTACGCATGGCATGATTGGATGCACGCAACCACGGCGTGTTGCGGCAATGAGCGTTGCAAAGCGTGTCAGTGAAGAGATGGAGGTCAGGCTTGGGGGCTTGGTGGGATATGCCATTCGATTTGAAGATTGCACGAGCAAATACACGGCAATCAAGTACATGACCGATGGGGTGCTGCTTCGAGAGTCATTAGTGGAGCCAGATTTGGACAAATATTCTTGCATTATCATGGATGAAGCTCACGAGAGAGCCCTAAACACCGATGTTTTGATGGGCCTGATCAAGAAAGTGCTAGCGCGGAGAAGAGATCTCAAACTAATTGTCACTTCAGCCACCATGAATTCGGAGCGGTTTGCGCGATTCTATGGAGGCGCGCCCGAATTTCTCATTCCAGGGCGTACTTTCCCAGTGGACATCCAGTATTCCCGGTCGCCGTGCGAAGACTATGTTGACAGCGCTGTCAAGCAAGTTCTAGCAATCCACGTCTCCCAAGGTCCTGGTGATATTCTTGTCTTCATGACGGGTCAAGAAGACATCGAAATAACGTGTGAACTTATCGCCGAGAGACTAAGACTTCTTAATGATCCTCCGAAATTAAGTATCCTTCCTATCTACAGCCAAATGCCGGCGGATCTACAGGCTAAAATTTTCGACCGCGCTGCCCCGGGAGTCCGTAAGGTCATCGTAGCCACCAATATTGCGGAAACCAGTCTCACGGTGGACGGCATTATGTATGTCGTTGACTCCGGATTTTCAAAACTGAAAGTTTACAACCCTAAGATGGGAATGGACACGCTGCAGATAACCCCAATATCTCAGGCAAACGCATCTCAAAGAGCGGGGCGTGCTGGTCGAACCGGACCAGGGAAGTGCTTCCATCTTTATACCGAGAGAGCTTTCCGAGACGAATTTTACATTCAGACTATTCCGGAGATCCAACGAACGAACTTGGCGAATACAGTACTTCTACTGAAATCTTTAGGAGTAAAAGATCTCCTTGATTTCGATTTTATGGACCCGCCGCCTCAAGATACCATTACAACATCGCTATTTGATCTTTGGGCCCTTGGGGCGATTGACAATATTGGCGAACTAACGCCTCTCGGCAAGAAAATGACCTCTTTTCCTATGGACCCATCACTAGCCAAGCTCATCATCACGTCCGTAGATTACGGATGTAGCGAGGAAATCCTCACGATAGTCTCCATGCTCTCTGTTCCAAGCGTTTTCTATCGGCCCAAGGAACGTCAAGAGGAATCGGACGCTGCTAGGGAAAAGTTTTTTGTTCCAGAATCCGATCATCTTACTCTGTTACACGTCTACAGCCAATGGAAGGTCAACGGGTATTCTGATAGCTGGTGTATCAGGCACTTCCTTCATCCTAAAGCTCTCCGGCGAGGGAAGGAGATTCGCGACCAGATCCGAGACATCATGAAGCTGCAAAAGATGGAGTTTGTTAGTTGCGGAACTGATTGGGATGTTATCAGGAAGTGCATTTGCTCTGGTTACTACCACCAAGCCGCAAAAGTCAAGGGTATCGGGGAGTACATCAACCTGCGGACCAGCGTCACCGTTCAGCTACACCCTACTAGTGCGCTGTACGGGCTCGGTTATCTCCCCGATTATGTTGTTTATCACGAGCTTATCTTGACATCGAAAGAGTATATGTCTTGTGTTACGTCGGTGGATCCACACTGGCTTGCAGACCTTGGTGGTGTTTTCTACTCGGTAAAGGAAAAAGGCTACTCAGCACGAGACAAGAGGGTCACTGAGACTGAGTTCAATCGCAAAGCCGAATTAGAAGCTAAGATGGCAGAAGATAAAGCGCGGGAGGCCCAGCGACTTGCTGAGGAGGGTAATGGATCGATAGTGAGGCGACCATTATCAGCTTCGGCCAAAAAGCTCGCGACGCAAGGCACTGTGAAGCGGCCGATCACCCCGAGAATGAGGAGGGGATTTTGAAGAGGTTAGTGATGACTCGGTCAGTTTAAAAGGGTCATTAGTGAGGAACCAAGTCTTAAGCGCCGGGTGAACATAAGCTTGGAGGCCAGAGATCAAGTAGATTTCCCCAAAACAGGTTAGATTTCGATAACGGACTCAGTACCCAATTCCAATTCTATATATTCATAGTAGTTCCATTTGACGGTGAAGAGCTTCCCAATCTCGGTTTGCAGTGAAACATTTTTAGTGTAACGGTGACCCTAACTTAGCTCTCTAGACATCATCCATGTGTGGCTTCCCTCCCTAAGCAGTCCACGTCCCTTTAAGAGTGCAGTAGTGAGCCTGTGGGAGCTCTGCCTTCAGTTCCGGCCTGAGTCGTCTCTAGCCATTCTTACTTGAAATTACGTATCATGTGACAATATCGAATTGCGGTAAGAAGAGCTCTATTTGACCCTACAGGCTTATGTTAAGGTGATGGAGAGTCTTCTGGAGTAAGAGTGTGATGCTTAGGGTAAACCTTTGGAGCCTTGAAGTCCTAAATGGGAATTAACGTGGTGCAGACCTGTTTTTTCAAATACTTTCTACGATTTCGAAATAAGGCAAAATATCCCTATCGCAGTCGATGTTACTCTTATGTCAATGTAAAAGCCAAACAATAATACTGGTGAAAGACGAAGTGGCGCGCTAATCACGTGAATGGCCCACTGCGCTAACCCGAGCCAACCGGCCAACCCTCAACCTGCTCTCCAGCGCAGTAACCGCTTCAACAGCCATATCTATCAACAACGCTCCGCCAAACCAACGCTACCGAAAATTATGGACTAGCCTTTGACTCTCCCGTAGCTTTTGCTCGACGTGTGTTCTGCGAAAGGACTGACCGCTATCGACACCCGATGCTTCACGAAGCCCTTCTACCGAACCCTCGATCCATTCCCGTTCCCACGCCCCTGGCAATCTAAAGGACAATATCACGGAAATAATGGATCCATCCTCTGACCAACAGGCGCGCCCATTTTAGGTTTCTATGGGCGCCGGCCCCCTGCGATACAAAGGTGGACGATAAGGTTGGAAACAACAATGTCAACGTCTTTGAGGAACGGAAAGGGATGGCAAATACCATATTCCTAGGTGGAGACATCAATTCAGGTAGTCAAAGCGCCTCGGCTTGCGAGGACGATCTGTGCACATTCATAATATTCACGAATTGGCTAGATTCTCCATTCTTGAACTGAACAAGCCGGTGGCACACTTTTGCTTTGTGGGATACATACCCTAGAGGCGATGTTGACTCTGAGGTATGTTCTTTCATTGTTTCTGGAGCCGAGTCCGTACTCTTCACAATTGGTCTGTTCGTCAACGCTCCCAAAAGCAGAAGTTCAAAGCATTTTCATTTCTTAATCGTTCCTCTCTAGCTGAGGGGGAATAATGGTATTCATTTCTTCCATGCTTTCTCTGCCATTATTCTACTTTGCAGTTTTCTTTTCTATCAATTCACATTTCCCTTTATTGTCTCACTTCAACGTATTGTTGTCATTTCAGCCTCGAAACCCCCCCAAGTTCCGTTGGACTGGCCAACCTAACCCTATCCGGTTACGTGAAATACGTGAGAAGGCCGTACCGAAGAATGACACTGGAGCAACCAGGATATCTATTTCTGAAAAGCGGAAACCGTGCAGATTCATAGGTGTACATTTTAAAACCCGCTTGTTGAATGGCAGAAAATCGTAGCGCTCCATAGCTCTGATTGTGCTCTCTAAGGACGGCCAGCGACCCTGAGCTTTAATGCTGTTTTCCACCTGTCCATGGAATAAATTGACGGATCGACGAAGGGCTCGTACAGGCAAAGCAGGATGAAGAATGTGAGAAGCAGTAATTCAAGCGCAAATACAAACCTACACTAGTAGACCTTGTTTCTGCGACCTTCCGTTCCTGGCCTACCTATCTTATGGTTTTCATCGGACAAGTGAAGCAGAGAGTATAGTAAGTGGCTACCCCTTCTCTCACTCTTAGATCGGCGCCGGTGTAGAGCAATCGAAGCAAATGGTGCGCCGGCGAAAGTCTTGAAATGAGAGTCAGTAAAGTCGGTGAAGCTGACAATGTGCAGTGACTAAGAGCTGTTAGGTATTTTCCTTGGCTACAGGGCCTTCATGAAGCTGCTCGTAGCCAAGTGAATACAAGCTGTTGCGTCAAATTACCCTCGCAGTCTATCAACCGAACGTTTTCTCTCTACTTGTCTCATGCTGATCGACTCTAGCGGATCGCGCTGGGGTATGGCATGCTTGCAGGCATCGATAGACCAAGCCTTACGACCGACGCTGAGTTTGCTTCTACCAGCCATCGTGCCGGACACTTTCTGCGTATTCAAGTGCTTCACCCCAATGCGAACAACAATATGGACCAGCACCTCCTCTTCCTTCACCGTCCTGCCTTTGGCGCACGTTGGTGTTGAGTGCTCGATCTTCGGCAAAAGCACGACTGCGTCTCCTCCCCCGCTGGCCCAAGCTCATCGCATCGCGCTAGCGCCAACGGGAGCAGCGACGGCAAACCCACATCATCTTGCGCACGACTTCCTCCAGCTGCAAAGCGTCTTCCGACCGGCTACTATATCTCCTCGTCGCGAGGAACCAGCTCCAAATTTTCCATCGTCCCTGCATCACTATTGACCGGGTTCTAGCGTGAACGGCGTCGGGCTCACGTGACTCTGATCCAGGTCTAAGAGAAAGCTTTCGAGCCTCCGACCTTTACCTCCACTTTCCTCCACCCACCTACCACCCAACCCACAACGCCATCGCCCGCCATCAACCCACATTCTCTATCATCATTTACACATCTATCTCATCGAGCACGACTTTCCGTTGAGCTAATTCACACCCCTATCCATCCCATCTACGCGTCACCCACGCCGTGCAGCTGTCAGCACGACCTTGGACAATGGCAGACGACGCCAATGCCTCGGCTGCTGTCAATGCCGCCAAAGCAGTCGAGGGGCCAACGCGTTCTGCGGACGCGCCCGCCGTCTCTGTTGTCGCTGAGTTGAAACCGGCCGAAGGCGGTGATGCGGTCAAGGCAGGTGAAGCCGGTGAGGGTGCGTTCTTTCACTTCCAATCTCCTGAGGCAATTGCTGACTGCCACTGTACATCAGACTCAGAGACTACCCCTACTAAACACAACTCCACCCGAGACGAGACGACCACCGCCAACCTAGACACGGATGCTACAATGGCAGGGGATGAGACTGGTAAGTCTTTATATGCTGTTGCGTTCGAGGCAGCCTCTGGGAGTATTGTGGACAATATTTACCCAATGCTGACTTAACCGTGTTGCAGCTGCAGGCCTGACCGCCGAGGTAGCCAACGGTGCCCCAGCCTCATCCAAGAAGTTGAACAACAAGCGCAAATCAGGAGCTAGTGTGCCTGAGCACAAGAAGAAGACTCCCAGCAAGAAGAAGAAAGGTACACCTGAACTTCGTCTCAATGTCTCGCCGGGCGATTATTGGTTCGTTGCAATGCGGGGTTTCGCGCCTTGGCCGGTTATCGTCTGCGACGAGGAGATGCTCCCAGAGACTCTTCTCAGCAAGCGCCCTGTGAGTGCGCAGCGTATCGACGGCACATATCGCGAGGATTTCCTCCCAGATGGCAAGAACGCGAAAGACCGTCGGTATCCGATCATGTTCCTTGGCACAAATGAATTGTGAGTACATCCCCTCTTTTCTCTTTGCCAGCCAGGCCGGAAACGACATCAGTTGTTGATATCAAGACCCAGCGCGTGGCAAGTCAATACCGACCTCCAACCCCTAAACATCGATGATATCAAGACGACAGTGGATGGTGGCAACCAGGGAAAGAAGTCCAAAGCCTTATGGGAGGCGTATCAGATTGCCGCTAAAGGTCATGAGCTCCAGTGGTTCAAAGACATGCTTGAGAACCACGAGAAGGCCATGCAGGCTGACATCGAAGAGAAGGCAGCTGCGGAGGCCAAGAAACAGGAGAAGAAGGATAAAGCTAAGCGCAAGAGCATTGCCGCTGACGACTCAGAGGACGTTGAGATGGAAAACGCTGACGACGAAGGCGCCACCTCCGCTAAGAAAACCAAGGCATCGAAGAAGCGCAAGAAGGAGCCTGAAAGCGACGGTGAGAATGAAAAGGTATGTCAAAGTCTCTAGCCTCGTTCTTTGCTTTTCTAATTAGTTCAACAGCCAACGAAGACCCCGAAGACCAAGCTAAAGCTCAACAACAAGGCACCAAAAGAGGAGTCAGCCATGAAACCGAAAAAGGACTCCAAGGTTAAGAAAGCCAAAGCCAAGAGCGACAGTGAGGAGACCGAGGCTGCAAAGGTTGAGGAGAAGCCCATGACAGAGGCCGAACGCCTTGAGAAGCGTGAAAAATCAGGTAATTCTCCCTGCTCAACGTGAATGTCTCTTACTGACAAGCTGAAGTGCTCTATCTTCGACATAGGCTTCAAAAAGGTTTTCTCTCACGCGACCAAGCCCCAAAGGAGGAAGAGATGGCCAACATGTCCGAGTACCTCAAGCAGCTGGAAGCCTACAAGGACGATCTCGAAGCTGAAGTCATCAAGAAGACCAAAGTACACAAAGTCCTCAAAGCGATTATCAAACTCGACTCCATTCCAAAGGAAGAAGAATATGAATTCAAAAAGCGCTCTAACGATCTTCTTGGCAGCTGGACTGGCCAGCTAGCTGTGGATGCGGATGCTACCAACGGGCCCCATGCTGAGCCTGCAACCAACGGTGTTCAGCATGATGATGATGCAGAGAAAGCAGGCGCAGCTGCCGTTTCAACGGAGAAGCCAGAGGAGATGCCGGCCGAGCTGGAAACTGCCAAGGCAGCAGACGCTGACGGCGACGTTCCCATGGCCGACGTAAGAGATGAAACCCCGGTGGTCAAGGCTGATGCTAGCTCCAGTGCAGAAGGCGCTCTGGTGGCTACAGCTGAGGCAACTACTGCGTAAACTAGCATGGCTATCTAACTACACTGCAACCAGGAGGTCGATTTTCTGGCCCTCTAGCTCCAGCGTTAGCTCCCTAAATTCAAATGCGTTAATCCCTCGCATGGACGCATTTCTGGGTTCCAGTTACCCTGAACAAATCACAACCGAATAGGTGCTTCACTTTGTAGAGGTGCGGCTTGATGTCTTTGATTTTGATTTCTCTCCTATCCACCTGATGACGGCGTCTGGGTCTTTTTATCACTGCAGGGGATGCAAAACTTCTGTACATAATTCTGGGACTGGTGCTGGACTCATTTGGTTGGGAAAGGAGGCGGACATATTACTTACAGCATGCGTGATTTAGCAAAGTTTGGCTGGAAGGCGGTAGTGTTTTGGTAGCATATGAAAGAATCAAATTGCTAAACCAATATTTATCAGACGGTTTATGCCGTATTGTGCTTATTCGAGAATTGTGTTTTCTACTTTGAAAATCCCCTTCTTATCTTGATAAAGATTCACTTCATATTCTTATTTTCACTTCGTCGATGATCAAATCAACGCTCATGCAGACCAAACATCATTCTACACGTTCCTCTAGAATCGCAGCATCCGTATGACCTCCGACCTTTACCTGGGATTGCGTGCTCGCAAGAACCTTGGCCTTCAGGTCCGGACGACGATTATCCTGGCCAGTGAAACCACCATAAGTGGCCTCGAACTCGAATGGCTCCAATACCTTCCATATACCCTATATCTTTGAAGGTGGCAGCGGGATCATGTTGGGATAGGACCACATGAATGCGTAGCTCGTTGTTCCTGGAAGGCCGGTTTTGTGGTACTACGCGGAGTTGACTGAGGTTAGCAAAAGGTCATAACTACTACGAAGAAAAAAAAGAGAGAAAATAGACGGACCGGAACAGTCGTTCTTGTATCTGCAACAAACAGCATCTTATCCCAGTGTAAAATCATACTCCCGCTAAAGTGTCCACTAGCTTGGATTGCAGTAACACTGCCTACCTTTAATCAGCTTACGCAGGTCGTATGGATCTTTGCGGCTCAGCCATCTTTTGTCTGCTTTGGAAATGTAGATAGGACAGTTAAAAATCCTCGCCCATTCTAGATGCTTGGTGTAGAAGTGGGGGTGTGATATCACGATGGCTTTGAGACCACCTTTGGAGTTAATAAAATCTATGGTTGCAGATTCGATGAACGCTACGAGACCTCAGAGAACGTTTCTAGCGGGAGTTTGGAGGAGGATTGCGCGTTCGCCTATCCTGAGCTGTTTCGGTGTTATGGGGCTATCTGTAGGTTAGAGACGAATGCAAGACACACTTTTGGATCGGTGGTAATGAACCATATCCGTGGGTCGTATTTGTCTTGCGTGAAGTGGTTCTTTTACTTTGATTGCCCTTAGGCTAGACTTGTCCAGGCTTGTCCATCGGCGGGAACATATTGTCTTGGACCCTATAGCGCTGTCAGTATGATAAGTTTACGCCACCAGTAGTCCAATTATTCTCACATCACATATCCAACAGTTATCTGGAGCTAGATCTAATGGCATATCGTATTGAGTGCCACATGTTAGACAGATTGCAAGGTCCCCGCTCCCGAACTTCATTATATGGAGGGCTGGTGGATGTTGGTTACTAGCAACAGTGGGGGCTGACGCCTTTTTAAAGTGGATTCCGCGTAGCTTAGCAATGTCGGGACCAAACACGAGAGCAGTTTAGGGTAGAACTTTCATTCTATATATTCATTCACCAGGTAAGCTAGGCTTGATATATCTTCATTGCAGCGATACCGCTTCGCTTTTTAATACGATAGTTAAAGGTGATTGATAATGGCGAAGCCTGGCCAAAAGCATCTAATAAATCATTCCAAACGCCTTCGTGCATTGGGTTAAGACTGGTTATACAAGAGCACCTCTAATAATCCACACTTCACCGTTCGCGACTCTGTCTGCGATGCTAATGACCTCGATGCCGCCTGGCTGGATCTGAAGAAATGGTAAGCTGGAGTGTAGTGTACGTATTGAGGGTAACACTAACCATCTTCTTGCCATCTTTGCTCTCGTACCACACCTCATTTCCAGCCATGGTTCTCGCCCTCTGTCCTTCTTCCCATGGACTTTGCGTGACAATGTGCGCTTCAACAAATCTCCTCAGATTCTTATGCGCGCGATCTTCTCCATCACCACCATCGTACGCATTCTTGCCAAAAGCTGCATAATCTTCCGGGTCTTCCCAGGGCTTCCGCTGTAATCCCCTCATAGCTTCATTATCTGGTGCTAACACTGTAGCGTTCTTAGATGCATCATCTAACCGGTCTGATACAGAGTCGATATCTCGGGTTAGCCCGCTAAATATGGCAATTGTCTGCGTCTTTCCTATAACATCAGAGATTATAACGCCTGTCGATACTTCTCCGGAGGGAGACATGGCTTGGTTTAAAGGGATGTGCTTCCCAAGAGGTGACTGATCGGGGAGGATGTGGAGTGATTTCAGAAAGGATTCGAAGGGTCGCGATTGTGCCGAAGCGGCGAGGATCAGGCAGATAGTAGCAGTGGGGTATGCGAACAATAGGATAGGTTTCATGGTGGCGGTCGGAAAGGTTGTTTTGGAGAGTTGAAGGAGCCGGATTGGTGATGGAGGGGTGAGACGTCATCGCGAGAGCCAAGAGCCAATGCATCACGTGCTCGCGTGAAGTTTACTAAGCTCCACGCTGTTTCCGCCTTTCCACTTCCATCTCCCAATCACGTATTTTCTATTTTGCTTCGTCAACCTCCTGAACGACGCTTCACGCCTTGCTATCCTCCATGACTTACGAAGATGACGACGGGAATCCAACTTGCTACGGTCACACTAGTAAAATTCCCTTTTGCCATACTCCAGAGGCTGCTGACCCACCCTATCAGGATGACCTTCGCTCCTTTCACACGAAACATTTCCCTACGGCGCCGCTACCTACACAATTCTTCTATGGAGCTGAAACTCCCGAAGCTATTGATCAGTCCTACGGGGATGGCTTGGGATATTATAAGGATGGCGTAAAACGCACCCTTACAGACGATGATATCGCTTTCCTGAGACGCAGCGAAGTCATGCAGATCCTTCGAGAACGCAGACGTAGGCGAGACGTCAGTCGCTCGCCGGAACCTGACTTCCCTGTTCAGCAACAAGTACAGCGGCCAGATCAGCCAACGGAGGACTCCCCATTGAAGTTGACGCCGACGTCAACGAACAATCTCCCGCTCAATGCATCTACTCCACTAGGCAGAAGCAAAGATGGCGTACAGCAAGGTCGGATTGGGAAGAAAAACAATTGGGTTAAGACGAGTGAGAAGACAAGGCAGCGTAATAGGAAGAGTAGAAGGGCTAATAAAAAGAATAAAAAGGAAAGGAAAAAAAGCCGGCCTGAGGTGCCTAGACGCCGAGATGAGGAAGAAGAAGAGAAGGAGGAGGAGGAGGAGGAGGAGGGGGAGGGGGAGGAGAGCGATGAATGGGATCCGAGACGTCAGGCCACAGGCCCAGATGCCATAAAGGATACTACCATTGATCTGGACTATTGAGTCTTCGCTGAATAGTACACGATTGGTGATGCACTCATGTCTGAGGCAACGAACAGCAACTTTGCGAAACCAGGAACATCGTGATGGTCGCCGGGGAACTTCAGAAGCATATATTTGAAGTAAGTACTCAATCTTACGCGGTCTGTTTATCTTATTTGTCATGATGAAAACCTTTGTATCGTCATCCTTAGGCGGAGATGGCTCCAGATTTGGCTCAATGGAGAAGGCTGCCCTTTTGGGAGTGGTTTGATCTTGAGATTCCTCTGTGACTGTCCCTGACGAGTCTTTAATCTTCTCTCTGAAGTTAATTACATTCATACTACCTGCTTGGTTCGCCTTGGGGAACTATGGCTAATGCGATGAGTAGGCTACAAGGCCAAGTGCTTTGGTATGCGAAACGCAGGCCACGTTGAAGACACAAGGGCTGATACCGAGGAGATCGGTAATACTTCGTTTCTTACAACCTTGTCCTAGAAAGTGACGGGAATCAGGATGTGGAGAAACCTGCTGAAACGGCCCTGACGAATGGAAGCCTTGTCTTGCATAGTGCGAGTTAAATAAGCAGTTCGCGAGTATATACTTATCTTCAATTGCTAATACACCTCTAAAGCTTGTGTTTCTGCTCCTGAACAACCGCCACACTATGTGTGTTGTGCTACTCAACAATCTGTTCTATATTTTGTGAATGTGCCGACCCAAGAAAGTGTCTGCTTTAAAACAGAAGTTCGTATTCTCTGCATGATCTCTCTAATTTTAGCAATCAGTCTTGAAGATCGGATTCTCTCTGCAAATGGTTCGTGGCAGCGCTGAACATGCACTTGGGAGCATTTGGGAAACTGTCTGAGCAGCCGCTTTCACGTGCCGGTATCTCGCTTTGTGCGGGATGATCTCCAAACTTCTTTGTTCCCCAACCGCAGCAACTTGAGGTTCCTTCAACAACGCAACCATGGCAACGGACGCGGGCAGCTCCAATACCAACGGCACCATAAATGGGACCGCGAATGGAACCATGCAATCATTATGGGCCGATAAATATCGTGGCGTGAGTTTTCGAGCCCGCATTTACCCCAAACTCAACTAAGTATTTCTAAGGCTACGGTAGAAGACCTTGAACCCCCACCCGCTCTCTCCGTCAAACCCTCAGACCCTGTATCGCATGCCCTCATGAGTGCATTCGAACGCGATTACACCCACCTCACGGTCATCTCGCAGGAAAACCGAGCCCTCCTCGGATACATCAGCATTCCACGATTACAACAGCTGTTGAAGGAGCATAAAGTCAAAGAGACGGATCTGGTAGAAACGGCTATGCTGAGGTTCAGGCGGAGGGGCACGCGCTACAAGGTCATTACGACCGAAACGCCACTGGAGGAGTTAGAGGAGTTCTTTAATGGCGGCGTTGATGGTAGTGGGGCACAGGAGTTTGCAGTGGTGACGGATACAAGTAGGAAGTTTGTGCTGGGTGTGGCTACGAAGTCTGATTTGGAGAGTTTTGTGAAGAGAAGGGCGTAGGAGAAGACCGATTGCGCACGGGGGATTGGGTGCAGCGATGATGGATGCTGGATGCATTGCAAGGCGTTATCTGGAATGTAGGTTTTCGGAGGCGTCCTTCAACGTACGCTCCTAGACCGCTCGGAAGAAGTTGATATAATATTGCTTGTCCTGTGTTATCGCTCTATCCCCAGCGATAGCCCGTGAAAAGTATGCATGGGTGTGATGAAAATCCCACGATTGTGAGCATGGTGTTGAATGTAGCTTTACAGATCCGCGATGCTCCCTCAAAACGCTGGAAAAAAATACACTGTAACACAACAGCCTCAGCTCTGACATTTCGACTCCGCTCCGCTCCACCACTCCATTCTCTTTCTCACCCTACCTTCTCGCGGGGCACTACTCATACCTCCAGCTCCACTGCGTCATCACGCTTATTCAGCAGGCCCAATCATCCATAGTTATCTCAACACACCGGAACCACAACCCTCATGCCCGTTTCCACGAGCCCAACAAACCCCAGCGACGAGGCCTTGCCTCCCGAGCGCCTTTGATCCCTTGTACCAGGAGTTCTCACCTTCGAAACCCTCCTCCCCATCCGCTCGCTGGCATGCCCGCACCTTTCCCGCGTCCTCTGCGCACTCCGTCCTCTATCGGCGTACTGGTCCAGCACCCCTCTCCGGTCCGTCGGTCTCGGCTCCACGTAGCACCACCCGCCCTCCTCCTACCCTCTCCACCTTCACGGCGTTTCTCTCGTCCTGTCCAAAGGCCCCGTGGCGGAACCACAACCCCCGTACCGGATGAAGCTCCCCCCGTGACGCCCAAATCGCCATTCTACTTCGAAGCCGGATATGCGCTTTACGCGAAGAGACCTTCGCGCCCATTTCCACCTCCTTTCCTTTCTTATCCTTCCACTAGCTTCACTGAGCCTCTAAGTACACATAATAGGAGCCGGGATCGGCGGAGCTATGTGAATGGGGAGATGATACGGGGAGTGACGAATGGGGATGATGCGGTGTTGGTTAGCGATAGCTTCATTGGGGCAAATGATGGGGTGGGAGCTTGGGCTGCGAAGGAGAGAGGACATGCTGCGTATGTAAACCTAACCCCCACTCTGCACTCCTTTGTGGTGGGATAGTGGCTCACAGTCGTGGTATAGGTTATGGTCGCGGCTGGTTCTGCACTTTTGGGCCCTCGCAGCAGAACGTGCCAAGTTCGGTGAAGGCACAGAGCCAGACCCTGTTTCCTATCTTCAGAAAGCGTTCGATCAAACCAAACAAGCTACGTCCGAGCCGAACGAGTGGTTTGGAACTACGACTGCTTCTGCGGCGCTTATCGGGGCGGATAACAGCACTCCCGCGCATCCAATACTATATGTCACACAATTGGGAGATTCACAAATACTGGTACTCCGACCTAGTAGTAAAGAGGTCATTTTTAAAACAACAGAGCAGTGGCATTGGTTCGACTGTCCCCGACAACTCGGCACCAATAGTCCCGACACACCCACGAACAACGCCGTCATGGACCGAATAGAAATCGAGGAGGACGATGTCGTGCTAGCAATGACAGATGGCGTAGTAGACAATTTGTGGGAGCATGAAGTGGTGCAAAACGTCGTGGATAGCATGGAGAAGTGGAAGAATGTTGCAAGCAAATCGGAGGACGGCAAAGAACTAGTAGAGCAGACACACGCGGACGGCATGCGATTTGTCGCCCAAGAGCTTGTGAATGCTGCGAGGACGATAGCAGAAGACCCCTTCGCAGAGAGCCCGTACATGGAGAAAGCTGTCGATGAAGGCTTATCAATTGAAGGAGGTATGTTACAGGGAAAAGCATAGGACAAACTGGGTGCTGATCAAATATCAGGCAAGCTCGATGACATCAGTGTAGTCGCTGCGCAATGTAAACGACGAAAAGGGTGAGAAGTTGATGCACCAGACAAGTCCCCAATATTGTTCCCGCCTTAAGTGCCGAGCGTGTGTGCAAGGCCGACCTCAAAAAACCCCTCCGTGAAAGACAAACCGAGATACCGTTTTGGAAGTTAGTGCCCACAAACCTCTTGCTAGTGAGCTTCTATATTGATCTTCAACCACTAGGCAGAAACATTCCTCATGGCACAAGCGGCCAAGTTGACCAGAGGCGGAAAGATGAAATGGGAGCACGCTGCAAGAGTGCTTCCAACGATCTATCCAATGGTGAAAGTGTAATTTATGTAAATTAGTAGCTGGAAGGAGTCCATGCAATGTACCCACCTGAGTCTAGGATGTTGTCCTTGTTCAGTCTTCTTGGTCTGGCGAGGATCGTGTTCGAGAGCGCGAATCTCTGCGCTTCCTCGGTGACGTTGATCGACTCGGGCTACGAACGCGCTTTCTTGGGGATTTGAGGCGCTCAGAGTTATTGTCTGATGTAGATTCCTGTTTAGAATAAGAGCGCCTGTCCCGTCTCACGTTCTTGCTTCCTTCAGCCTTTGGGGTTACGGACCGTAAACGTGAACGCGAACGCGAACGATCGACATAGCTTCGACGACGTGGAGGAGAGTGAGAAGGTGACCTTCTGGGTGGTGAGCGAGATTTCTCTTTGGGGGTGATGGATCTAGACTCGTGTTTCCGTGACTTTCTACCGCGTTCGGCTTTACCGCGACTTCTACTGCGAGAAGATGATGGTCTGTCTCTCCCCGAGTACTTTCCGTGGTGACGCTTAGGTAGAGATCTGGACCTTGAAGAAGATGTTGCTCGGCGCCTTCGACGTGGAGGTGGAGACTTAGATCGGTCTGATGACGGTGCTCGGCGAGAACGGTGGGCGGAAGACCTTTCAGGCGACCTTGAACGATCTGAAGATAGCGCACGACGGGATCGACGAGGAGGCGATAGTCTTGCTGGAGACTTTGACCGACTAGAGGGTGGGGAGCGACGAGACCGGCGAGGGACCGGAGACTTTGACGGGGATCTCGAGCTTGTTAAAGATGGTGAACGACGAGAACGGCGGCGTGGAGGAGACCTTGACCGGCTCAACGACGGAGAGGAGCGTCGTTCCCATGCTCTGTCTCGATCCCGTCCACGCCCGCGTGGGATGTATATGTCACGTTCCCGTCGAGGAGGTGGAGAAACTCTCCTACGTCTTCTGTGCCTAAGGTCAGCAGATTTCTTTCCCGACGGTCTTATGATAGCATACGGTGGGGAGCGAGGAGGTGGTGATCTCGAGTCGCGTCGAGGCGGGCGGCGGTTAAAGTCTCTGGCTCGACCAGGGCGGTCGCGAAAACCCCGGCCTCTTCCACGGTCTCCGCGGTCTACACGCTCGTCACGGCGAAACGAATCAATCATTTCGTTTTGTTCGCGTTCTTGCTGGCGACGACTTTCGGCAGCAGCTTTGGAAGCCTGCTCAACGCTGTCAGCAGATGTCATGGGGTAATCAATTCCCTTCCTGCACTCACTTGTTCTTGCTTCATTTCTAGCTTCTTCGCTTCCAGCAGCTCCTTGGGAACGCCGCGGGGGCTCTCTTGGGCACTCAGCATCAAGGTCCATAGCTCTCTGCAGAATGCGGGGCAGTCTTTGCCTAGGAAGCCCATGAGCTGGATTTGGATCGCTTTGATATTGGGCTACACATCTTATTAGTCGAACACAGGCTGCAGAGGAATGAATGGTGCATACAAATTGGGACTCCTCAAGAAGATTAAAGCAGGTGTCGATGACAACATCGTCTTCATCACCTAGGATACCAGTGATCTTGCTTGCAATCCACTTCTTCAAGAGGTCGACGTTCACTTTCAACGTGTCGACTTTCTGATCAAACTCGGGCGGGAACTTGGTCGCTTTTAATCGCTTCTGATCTACACTTAGCGCCATGATTAGAGCGTAGCAATGTAGTAGTGAGCGCCTGGGGTGGGCGACCGTGGAGTTGTCGTAAAAGCTGTCCAGGTGGGAAGTTGGGACGTCGCCGTGCCGATGAGGTTGGGGCTCAAGCCGAAGCTCGAAAATTAGCGCCTTGGCAAGAAGCCAGATAGTTTCCCCGGTGCGAGGATGCTTAACAACTCCCGTAAAACTCAGACTACGGTTCAATATTTAGATGAAAGCAGGACTTGTTATACGTTCACTTTCAATGAACTCAAGTTGTGGAATCAAGACGCCCATTGCCTCATCACTGTTCCATTATAGTAAACGGCGCCATAGCTCCTTCCTTCTCATCCACCGTCATGGTCGTTACTGTACTTTGGCGTCCTTTCCGTCCGCCAACTCCTAGCAGGTTAATCAACATGAATTCGCGCTTGGACACTCTAACATCTATCCATCCCCCCACCGTCTGTCTTCTTTCCCGTCATTGCTCGCCGTGCTTCTTACACATACTATCGTTTATCCCGAGCATACATACCTTTCGCTTCTCTCCCCTCACCTCTCTCTCAGTCGCACACTGAGCTGAGCTGCATTTGTTGTGCAACGCTCCGTCATGGCAGACGCAGTTGATCCTACCACGCAGCCGCCAATCATCGTGGAGCCAGCCAGTGAAGCAGAGCCAGTCGTCGAAATCGTCCAGGAAATTCCCGAGGATCCTCCTGCCCCTCCCCCATCCACGCCGGCCCTGGAGGCGCCGTCTCAGTCAGGTATGCTGCCTTTTCTCTTGCTTCATACTGTGCTAATGTGGCCCAATAAGTCCTTCCAGAAGACACCATGATGGTCACTACTGAACGGGGTGAGCCGGTCGGGGTTGTAGTCACCGAGCCAGTTGAAGGAGTAGCTGTTGTCCAAGAAATACTTGCGTCTAATGGGCCCGAACCCGCGCCCGAGCAGTCCCAACCACAGCCAGTGGAAGAAGCCGCCCAACAGGCCGAAGTGGAACCTCAACTGGAGCCGGAACCAGTGCCAGTGCCAGTGCCAGAACCAGTACCAGTGCCAGTACCAGAACCAGTACCAGAACCAGTACCAGTGCCAGTACCAGAACCAGTACCAGAACCAGTGCCAGTACCAGTACCAGAGCCAGTGCCAGAGCCGGCGCTAGCGCCAAATCTAGAGTCAGAGCCAGTGTCATATCCAGTGCCAGAACCAGTGCCAGTGCCAGTGCCAGTACCAGTGCCAGTGCCAGTGCCAGAGCTAGAGCCAGTGCCAGTGTCAGTGCTAGAGCCAGTGCCAGAGCCAGTGCCAGTGCCAGAGCCAGAGCCAGTGCCAGTGCCAGAGCCAGAGCCAGAGCCAGTGCCAGTGCCAGTGCCAGTACCAGTACCAGTACCAGCGCCAGTGCCAGAGCCAGAGCCAGAGCCAGAGCCAGTGCCAGAGCCAGTGCCAGTGCCAGTGCCAGAACCAGAGTCAGTGCCAGTACCAGTGCCAGCGCCAGAGCCAGAGCCAGAGCCAGTGCCAGAGCCAGTGCCAG